ACTATAGCCCATGGAAGAAGGATTTGAGAGAGGCTTACAAATTTTGCCAAATAACCTGTCAACAAATTTTAGAAGTAATTTCCTTAGGCATTAATTGTTGGTTGATGTAAAATGGAAGTGTTACTGCTATGTTGTCACAGACAATGCTGTGAGAAAAATCAGAAACATGTTTGAAACACTTGGATGCTGTAGAAAAAAAACAAGAAGGGATTAGAAGTGTTGTGCTGAAAGCAGGGCTGTATTGTTGGGGAGCATTAGAGGAGTCAGCAACTCTTCACTGAGCAGGCTGAACTAAACATCACTTGGTTTCTCAGCTACGCTTTCAATTTTGCTGAGGAATGACAACCAGGGCTGTTAAAATAGTTTGTGATCACTAATATTAAAAAGGATAATATCAAGATATGTGCAGTGAGATAAGACTTGTTTACTATAGAGTTTCTCTGTTTTTGAAGGCTTTATTTTATGACCGTAATTTTCTGTCTCTTAAAATTTTTTAAATGTATACATTTACAGATAACCTGTGAGAGACACTGTTTCTGAGGAAAGTATTGGTTTGTTTCTATTTATCATTGTGTGGTTTATATTAACAGATCACTTCTGACCCTAGACTTCGTGTTGAGCTAGCTCTTCGAGAAGCTGGTCTTCATAAAACGCTTTATGCAAAAGAGATTTTACCAAAAATTCCTCCACTGAAGCTTCCAAGAAGAGACATGGAATCTACAGCTTTTAAAATGTGAGCAGCTCTCGTATCAAAAGTAGAGAAACTTCAGGGGTATTGTCTGGCCTATAATGTGAAAACTTTAAATAAATTTTCCTTAGCCTGTGCCATAGAACTACGTAGTTCTCAGTGTGTGCAATCATTCTAAAAAACAATATGCCTTTCTCATGCAGGGCTACCCCATTTTACGCCTGTCTTGGTAAAGGTTGAACAGAGTTTTGGTGGGTGTAGGCTGTTGTGGTGTAATTTCGCACGTCCCTTTCTACTGGGAGATAGGACACCTATCCTATCTCCTACAGACATTACAGGCCAGTCTGATGTATAGCATCTTGAATAGGAACTCTGTTTTTTAATTGGCAGCATAAATCCAAAATAGATTTGCAGAACAGCCACTTTAAATTGTGACACGTGAATACACCCCACAACTTTCATTGCAGGTTTCTTGAGAATTTGATTATTTTAATGAATGTTTTTATTATTCTTTGATTATTATAAAAATAAACTTAACCTTTGTCTATATTTAGAAACAAATTTGCTGCATCATGACTGCAAGCCAGTCATGCAATTTCATGTTGCAGATTAGTCTTTCAGTATAAATTATAAATTAGAAATAACATTTCAGATCAGGGATCTTTATTTTGGAGCAGAAACTACTGATTAAGGTTTTATTTAAATGAAAGGAAAATTAATGTAATTCCATTTTGTAGCTATGTTTTCCAGTCTTACATAAGTGTAAAATGGATGTAAACAAGGTATAATTAGCAGTTTAACCAAACATTTCAGGGAGATCTGAACATTGTGTATCTGGATAATTACAGGTACTTCATTAATGTAATATTGTAATGGCTTATAGGCATTAATGGATCACATACCTCCAACACCTTGTGAAACAGACAGTAACTGTCACAGTGAAATACTGCGGATCAGGGCAGCTGAAAGCCCAGTCTGTGCTCTCCCAGCGGAGTCCATGGTGCAAACACCAAGAGAGAGTGGTTTTGCTGCTAGCCACTGTATAGCACCTCCTTCCCTGGCACAGACAACAGTCCCTCTTCTCTTGACATATTTGGTGACTCTACACCAAATGTTTTGTAATCAGAGACAAGCAATGTTGAGTTTTCACACTCAAACTGTTAGTAACATTGGCAAAATCTTGCAGCGTGAGCCTGATCTCAGCAGGTGTCTCAGCACCTGGGGGAGGGAGGTTTGCTCCAGCACGAGTGTGCAAGGATGCAAAGTCAGAGCAGACGGAGACTGTAAGAAGGGTGCCAGAAAGGCAGGGGAAGAGCTCATGCGACAGACTCCTGAGTGCAAGCAAATTTAAGAACAGGAGCAACGTAATCTGAGTATTGAAGCTATGTTATTTTAATGGGGGAAGAAAATGCTACAGAGACTGCCCAAAAGCCATGGGAGCTGTGTGTCTTCTGAATGTAATTTTGCATGCTTGTGCTAGAATTGCTATTTTGTCTGTATTTGTGCATTTTATTTTGGTATCTCATTTGGGGTAACTCATTCTTAAAACATACTTGGCCATCTTCACAACTTGTTGGATGTTCCTGCAGGGAGACCAGCACTGCTTTTCTTCTATTTAGAGGCCAGATTGGCTGCTAGACTGCTTTCTCAGAACAGAAGATTCCAAACTTAAGGCAACTGATTTTTTTTTTTTTTTAACTTGCCTTTAAAAACAGATCTGCAAGATAATTTCAGTGGTGCAAAATCTTTTCAGCTCATAGTTGTCATCTTTTATAAATACCAAAACATTTATGAAAAGAGAAAGTTTCAATGAAGCAGGCATGTTTTTAAATAAAGGGCACTGATTTTTAGGCACTGTCTTGTGATTGTCCGTTGTCTCTCAGGGAACAGAGTGAGTAGAAGCCCGCTTACATCTGTGTAGTGTACATGAGTCTGTGCCAGCTCACTGCAGCCAGGAGCTGGGGCTTGTTATTGATACAATGAGGCCAGAATGAAGATTTTTAGAGGGATTTTCATGTAACAGTGATGCGTGGAAAACAAGCAGGTCAGTGAAACTGGCTTCAAGTATTTTGCTCAGCACACTTAGAGGCTTTTCCTGCAGACTGCCTCAGCCACTCTCCCTAGCCTGGCCAAGTGCCTCTCTCCTGTGCTCCTGTGGAAGGAGGTGGGTGTTTCGCCTTACTTTGTTGTCCTCACCTTAGCACTGTTCACAAAAGGTGATGAAAGCCCTTCAGGAAATGGAGATGCTTATAAGGATGTTTGTTTTCAGGATAAATGCTATAAAAAAATAAAATAAAATTGAAAGTTATTTTTGTACAAAGATGTGTGAAATTACTTGCACATAAAAATAGTGATTTGAAAAATGTTAATGGGAAATAGACTTCTCAACCAGCATCTTTTGCAGCCCTACTTTGTTGGTCTTGACTCGCTGAGGGTAACAGTTCAGAAGTCAGCTATTCTTTATGCCAGTGAATAAAGTGTATGCAGTTTGACTAACAATCTGAGTTTTTAAAGCCTGAGAAAAACTTCTTTGTGAAAGTGAGGTGGCTCAGTTTCAAGGCATACTACTTATTTGTGAATTTTGGTAGGCAGAAAATTGGCTGAAATGTTAAATAGTGCCTGAAAGTTGAGCACCCAACTGGTGCAAGATCAGTTGGTGTGGTATCTGGCCATTACAAAACACTTCAAGTTTGTGCCAGCTTATGTGCACGTAAGCTTATATGCACATATATGTATCTGTAGAAAAAAGAAGAACGTAACTGACTGAGATGCCAGTTCTGACCCTCTAAGAATAGAGAGGGCCCTGCAATAATGGTCAGTATTTTGAAAAAGAGCTCACCAAGGACATGCATTCTGAGCTGTGTAAACTACTGACTCATCTGAAAGCCCTAAACAGTGTCAAACTTAGAATGTGCAGCAGAAAAAACATTTCATAGCATAATCATTAAGCTAAGAGCAAAGTAAGTAAAACGAGAGTCTCTTTACTGCACATTGTTCTAGAAAATAGAGAGTTCTTCACCTCCTGCAAAGTTAATGACTGGATCTATATTTCCGCAAGCTAGGGCAGAACAAACATCACCTATCAAATTAGGCAAAATGTTAAAGTATCATATTTCTTTTCCTGGAGTGGTTTTAAATTTTCACAACAGACTTAAGGTACATTACTATTAGTATAGAAGTTTCTTAAGCAGACTTTGGACTTAGCAGAACTGGAAGCAAGCTTGTTAGTGAAACTTAAGAACTAGAAGTGATTTTGATGGGAAATTCTTCAGACTGTAGGTGACCTCTGAAAAAAACCCTCTGTGCAACCCAGGCACAGCTTGTGGGGACACTTACAAATGAGTTTCTGGACTGTTGATGTGTGCTGATTAGCAGATGAACATGAAAGATGTAGTCCCTGGCACTCAGGTGAAATCTGGTGAAGGATATATCAGTAACCTGTGCTTCCTATCCCTTTCCATCTCAAGGGTCTCTGTGCTCCCCACCCCTAAAGCTGCCAACCGTGCAGTCTGCTTTTCTTGAGGACAGCCTGTGCAAAGTGGGCTTCCCACACACTCCCTCTTATCTTCAAATGCCCTTGTACATGTCAGTTGTTGACAGATCCTTAATGAATAATAGTAATAGTCACAAATGCGGATTAATTTTGTGCGTCATTTACTTAGTTTTTGGCTTTATGCCAAATGAAGAGGGAACTCTTCTTTTAGGTCGAGAGAGGTCCTCCTTCCCCTCTACTCTGCCCTGGTGAGACCCCATCTGGAATATTGTGTCCAGTTCTGGGCCCCTCTTTGCTGGAGAGAGTGGGAGTGGAGCATCTCCCTTATGAGGAAAGACTGAGGGAGCTGGGTCTCTATAGTTTGGAGAAGAGGAGACTGAGGGGTGACCTTATAAGTGTCTATAAATATATAAAGGGGGAGTGTCACGAGGATGGAGCCAGGCTCTACTCAGTGGCAAACAATGATAGGACAAGGGGTAATGGGTGCAAACTGGAACACAAGAGGTTCCACTTAAACTTGAGAAGAAACTTCTTCTCAGTGAGGGTGACAGTGGAACAGGCTGCCCAGGGAGGTTGTGGAGTCTCCTTCCCTGGAGACATTCAAAACCCGCCTGGACACATTCCTGTGTAACGTTATCTAGGTGTTCCTGCTCTGGCAGGGGGATTGGACTAGATGATCTTTTGAGGTCCCTTCCAATCTCCAGCATACTGTGATACTGTGATACTGTGAACTCCTTCCTAGAGGATTGCTGTGGACAGGATTGACCCTAACAGTACAGTCCTTTATGATCACTGGAGATGGGACTGAGGAGCATGCAGTTTGGTAAAACACTCTTAATTTGTGTACAAATATTGTCTGGAGCTGTCCTTGGGTGAGCAGGTTGTTGGTGTAATTCAAGCCACTTTGGAGGTCTCCAGCTCCTGCATGGTGATGTTCACTGGATCCAGCTGCCCCACTCAGCCATGGAGGGCACTTGTCCATGGGAGTGCATCGTGACCAAGTCAGTCTTTTCGATTTCGCAGAAAAAGGGGATGTGGTGTGCCTGGCATGGGAGAGCAAGCCTGCACTGCTTGTGCTGCATCACCCATCAGTTTGTGGAGAAAAGCTTGTTTCCTGCTGGAGGGCACAGCCCCAGCTGCTTTCGGATGAAGGCTGCAATCAAGCGCTGGGGCCGCTGCTGGTATTCCCACAGCAGCTCATGGGGTGCCCGGATCTGGTCCCCCTCCAGGCGATCCAGGAGTGCCACACAAACAACAGCGGCTGCAGGATGGCCGAAGCACTGTGTTACCTCACACCTGATTATGAGCACCCTTTGCCTTAGAACACTGCCCCGTGGGCTGCGGATGCTCTGCTACTGCTGCCCTCCCCAGAGCTCGCTGTGGAATGCATCCTGCCACACTGGGAAGGCTGAAGCGGCAGGGTCCCTGGGTAGCTGCTGGCTGCAGCACCACTCCCTGGGTGCCCCCCACTCACGCTCTTCCAGCAAAACAAAGGAAGGCAGCTGGCCTGTGTAGCCAAGGCTTGTTTTAAGGCCAGGAAAGGGAGGAGGGAGTATTAAGTTTTGTTTTGTCCAACATGCACTCAGGTCTTCTAAAACAAACTTGGTTTTTATTGACTCACAAAATTTGTTCTAGTGTATGTTTCAAGTTAAAATAGTTAGGAATGTGGTTTTGGCCCTTGGGTTGTCTGAATCTCGCACCAAATCAAACCCTCAGGTTGGGTTAAGCTGTGGAATGCAGGGAAGGATGCAGAAGCACTCACCTTTCAGGCCACACAACCTGCACAGGGCAGCGAATGCTGTGGACTCCATTTCGATGTTCCTCACGCCAGCATTGTAAGCTCTTTTTAAGTACTCTTTTTTTCACTGGAAAAAGAGCACAATGCTCCATCTAATCTCCCCTGACCTTGAAAGGAAGCAGAGAAGTGTCACTGCTGGCCCTGCCTAGCTTTACAGTTGAAGTTAATGGGGTGTAGTTTCAAATGGAAAGTCCAGCAGTACCTGCGTTTGTCTGAAGCCACCTAAGTTTTCCTTTGACTAGTTACTTAAGTAGTTGTACTTATGTCCAGTACAGCTACTCCTCTCACACAGCATGTAAAGTCCTTCATGCAAGCCAGATGTATACCTGCAGTTGTGCTAACCTGGGCAGCATACTTCATTTTATTGCTGTTCCTACTATTAATCCGCTCAAATGGATTTTTGTTTAAATAAAACATGGCCTTGAGCAATACACAGATGGCTGCATTTGCAAGCAGATCCAACAGTTTATAAATAGTCCTGATATTATTAATTCTTCATTTATTGCATTTCATCTACTCTGCAATCAGCATTTAATTTTGCAAACAAAATGGTTCCAGAGTAACCAAAGTTTGTTTACATAAATGTTACAAGCTTCCTAACATTTCCTTAGTGTTTGGTAGTTCTGAAGTTACAATCTTTGTTGTAGGAAACACTCAATATTAACCCATCTGCTAGGCTCACCACACAGCTGTGGATGAGGGGCTGTTTTCTTTGCCAGGGTGCAGCTACTCCTGCTTTCAGCAGGTCTGTGACTGCACATAACTCCTATTGAATGGGTGGACCAGGGCAGAATAGGTCCCCTGGGCATCTGCATTGTCCCAGGGAGCTACCACTGCTGGGTGGATCTTAGCTCATGATCCACCATCAGCTACAGCAGCACTGGCCTTGCAGGTAACGTTACAAAATTTAACTGTCAGATGCACAAGAGACCAATTTGCCCAGACAGCCCCAAAACTAGTATTGCATGTTCTGAAGGCGTACCCTGTTCTGACCACTGAATAACCTCTAATGTATTATCAGGTGGGTCTGCTCCTGCAGCCCTTCTTAGACTTTGAAAGCGTGAACAGTTTTGCCTACAGAAGAACATAAGACTTGGCATTATGTTTGTGGGGAGGAAGGACAGGCAAAGGTTGTTTTACCTTCATAGAAGTCATAGGTGCACATGGTATGGCCGATGAGTGTAGGGAAGTCAGGAACCTCCTTGCTACAGGCAAGAAGCTCCTTTGCAAGGTCCTTGTCTAACTCTGTGCTCCGCACCACCACGTCATCCAGCACCACCTGCTCAAACCGTGGCTTGAAGGAGGAGTCCATTGCTGTGTCTGTGATCACAACAGTCCCGGGCTTGATGCCTGTGAAAAAAAATGCTGAGTCTAAGCCAGAGCTCATAACACTTGTGACTGCTGTGAAAATTCAGCATGACAGGAAAATCTCTATGGATGTATGAGTGACTGTGGGGTTGTTCTTTTTAGTAAAACAGATGTGAGAGAATAACTGAAATTCATGCAGTAGCACAGATGTACAAGTAAAATGTACAGAATCAGGTCAAGAAGAGCAATTGTGGGAACGTGATGAGCAACAGCATTTTAATTGCTTCTGGCTTGTGGCGATCATGGCCCACCACTAGCTTCTGCAGGCACAAGCAGCACTACTACCCTGGCTGGGGGTCATAGGATCATAGAATCATAGAATAGTTAGAGTGGGAAAGGACCTTAAGATCATCTAGTTCTAACCCCCCTGCCACAGGCAGGGACATCTTGCACTAAACCATGTCACCCAAGGCTCTGTCCAGCCCAGCCTTGAATACCACCAGGAATGGAGCATTCACAACCTCCCTGGGCAACCCATTCCAGTGCCTCACCACCCTTACAGGAAAGAGCTTCCTCCTTATATCCAGTCTAAACTTCCCCTGTTTAAGTTTTAACCCGTTACCCCTTGTCCTGTCACTACAGTCTCTAATGAAGAGTCCCTCTCCAGCATCCCTATAGGCCCCCTTCAGATACTGGAAGGCTGCTATGAGGTCTCCATGCAGCCTTCTCTTCTCCAGGCTGAACAGCCCCAACTTCCTCATCCTATCTTCATATGGGAGGTGCTCCAGTCCCCTGATCATCCTTGTGGCCCTCCTCTGGACTTGTTCCAACAGTTCCATGTCCTTTTTACGTTGAGGACACCAGAACTGCACACAGTACTCTAAGTGAGGTCTCATAAGAGCAGAGTAGAGGGGCAGGATCACCTCCTTCGACCTGCTGGTCACGCTCCTTTTGATGCAGCCCAGGATACGGTTGGCTTTCTGGGCTGCAAGCGCACATTGAAGCCGGCTCATGTTCATTTTCTCATCAACCAACACCCCCAAGTCCTTCTCCGCAGGGCTGCTCTGAATCTCTTCTCTGCTCAACCTGTAGCTGTGCCTGGGATTGCTCTGACCCAGGTGTAGGACCTTGCACTTGGCATGGTTAAACTTCATAAATTGGCATCACCCCACCTCACAAGTGTGTCAGGGTCACCCTGGATGGCATTCCTTCCCTCCAGGGTATCAACCAAACCACACAGCTTGGTGTCATCGGCAAACTTGCTGAGGGTGCACTCAATCCCACTGTCCATGTCACGGACAAAGATGTTGAACATAGAATTATTTAGGTTGGAAAAGACCTTTAAGATCATCAATCATCAAGATCATCACCCAGCACTGCCAAGTCTGCTACATGTCCCTAAGCGGCACGTCTACATGTCTTTTAAGTACCCCTAGGGATGGTGACTCCACCATTTTCCTGGGCAGCCTGTTCCATTCCAGGTTGCTGGACAACCCTTGTGGTGAAGACATCTTTCTTCATATCTATTCAAACCTCCCCTGGCACAACTTGAGGCCGTTTCCTCTCATCCTATCACTTGTTACGTGGTAGAAGAGATCGACTCTCATCTCACTACAACCTTCTTTCAGGTAGTCGTAGAGAGCAAGAAGGTCCCCACTGAGCCTTCTCTTCTCCAGGCTAAACCACCCCAGTTCTGTCAGCTGCTCCTCATGGTACTTGTATTCCAGACCCCTCACCCCATTGCCCTTCTCTGAACTCGCTTCAGCACCTCAATGTCTTTCTTGGACTGAGGGGCCCAAAACCAAACACAGGATTTGAGGTGCAGCCTCACCAGTGCTGATTACAAGGGGAAGATTGCTTCCCTAGTCCTACTGGCTATGCTACTGCTGATACAAGCCAGGATAACATCATATCTTCACAACATCATTGTAGTTCTCCTGCAGAGCAGGTGCCCCTTCTTCCAAAGGTCATAAAACTTTTCTTTTTTTTTTTTTTGATTTTTCCTGAGTTCCAGCCAAAGCTCTCTGCTCGTCTGTTCAGCCAGGCTGGGCTTCTTTCCTGCTGGCTTGTCTTTATGAGGATGGCCTGCCCCTGTACCTTGATTTCCTTTTTGAGGAATGTCCATCCTTCCTGGACTCCTTTGCCCTTCAGGACTTCCACCAAAGGGGCTCTGCCAACCAGTCTGCTAAACAGGCTAAAGTCTGTCCTTTACAAGTCCAACTCAGCAGTTCGGCTGACCCCCTCCTTACTGCTGCAAGAACTGAAAACTACCTGTTGCTCACAATTGCTGTGCCCAAGATGGCCTCCAACCACCACATCACCCACAAGTGCTTCTCTGTTCACAAACAACAGGTCTAGTGGGCACCTTCCAGTCAAGTGTTTCCAGTTTGAAAAGTGATATCCAATTGTTTAGAATGCAAAGCCTTTGTTCATTATAAAAATATGCACTCTGCTAAGCCAGTCACTAGAAGTTTGCTGGGTTTTAACCCAAAACAAAATATCATGTTGTTTGGTACTTGGCGACCTGACAAAGTGCTAGAGCTCATAACTGCATTACCTATTGCTGAGATTTTTTTTTTTAGTAGCAACTTATTTTTCTCTGAAGAAAGACCATGGTGGCTTACCTAAACCTCCAGAAGTACCAATGCGTATAATAGTAACATCTCAGCATTTTGCGTGGTGCAGAAGTTTAATTAGTTCATGAAGCATGATGGAAATGGAAGGGATACCCATCCCATGCTGTTGGGAAGAGAGAAATGAAAAACGTCATTCCCTGTGATACTGTGGCAGGTGACAGGTGTGTGACTGCAACGAGCTCAGAGTTATGCTGTGGCCTCTTTCCACTGATGACACCAATTTTTTGAGACATCTCAGGGTCTTTGTAACCTGTTCAGGTAAAAAGTCTAACCCTCTTCTCCCCTTGATGCTTTTAAGGCTCTTCTTATCAATAGAGCTAGTATTCATGCCTGGGGACCAGTACACCAGGCACGCAAACGGTGTCTCTCCTTTGAGAAAGATCTCACCACAAATGCATCCGGATGTCTGAATGCTCCAAGGTCTTTCCTTCCAGTGCCCATCCTTATGCCACATGCTGATGTCCATTCTTTGTTGTGTCCTGCTTGTACTCTTGGAGTGGTGAATTTCAGTGAGGAGAACTTGAGCCTCTGCTTCTCTGGGTGCCTCCTAACCTGTCCTCACCCCACACCAGAGCACCTCTACCCATGTTGCTGAGCACGAAGGACAGCAGATGGGTTTGTGCCTCTCACTGAGGACTGGTTTCAGGGTCAGGCATCTGCCACGTGAAGTCTTGAGCCTTGTAGGCCACCTGTCCTGCTTCCTGGCTCACATCACCCACCTTGGGTTCACTCCATTCCCTGTGCCTGCCTGATTGCCTGTAGACTCTCCCTTCCACCGGCACCAGCCCGTTCCCCATCCTCTGCCACAGCTCATTGTGCCTTGCTGTCCCATCTCCGCTGCCACTCTGCCAGGCTGGCAGATGTTTTGCAAATCTGGAGCTGTCGAGGCTGCCTCTGCTTTCTGCCCAGCGCTGCTGCACTTGATCATCTTTGTTTTCTGCTTCATCACTCAACCGACGTGCTTTTCTCAGCTTTACTTTTAGAAACAAAAGGTGTTTGGTGGTGTGGGGTTTGTTTTTTCCCCTGAAAAATGCCTCACATTTTTTTGGTTTTGCTATCCTGTTCAAAATCCTGAAGGAACCACGTATAAAGAAGCACAGTTAACGTATGCAGTCAGTTTTCACATTGCTTTGTCTCTTTTCATTTGGCTGTGAGACTGATGGTCTATTAGGCTTGTATCATGTTTTAAATATGAAAACTTCTTGTATGTTGTTATTCTGGAACATCGGCCTGACTTATCTGCCAATACCTAAAAAAATTATTCTCATTGTAAATATTCAAAGCAGGAAACTGTGCTCCTCCCTCTGGTTTGAGTTCATTTGTGTTTCTAAGCAACTTGCAAAAATGTGATGCTGGCAGCTGCTCTGCATGAAGCATTTTGGGGGAGGCTTGCTGTACGCTCTGCCCGGCATCCCCTCACAGCGGTGGATGGCTTCCGCATTGGCACAAAACTGGTGCACGGCCAAGAGCTCAGCATAGGCTTTTCCTCTAGCTGTGTCACAGCTGCTGCGAGAGAGGGGAATAGCAAAACTTGTGGGTTCTTTTTCCCCTGAGATCCTGTCAGATTGATTCCCTCTGGCATTTCCATCGATCAGGTTTGGTTATGTTTTGTCAGAGGGACCAAACGTGAGCTCTGTCACATGAGTGACGCTGGCTCCTGTGAATCAGATTCAAGACTAATCTTGTACCTGAAGAAATGATGGCAGGACAATCCCTGGGGCATAAGCACTCGCCAGCATAGCCTGTATTTGCTTTTTATTTTGTGTGGTGCAAAAAAATTCTTCTCTTAAAGAATAATTAATAATAAAGCAAGGCTTTAACTTTAAAGCTCATGTCAGTGTAATACTTCCAGCAATATTTCATACTTCATGCGTGGTGGGAAGTGGTCTTTGCCTCTCAAACTGCCAGGCTGCTGAGCTGAACAAAATACTTGCATGTTCATTTTTACTACAATGCTTTTCAAACTGAACATGTAAGGTGCCGAGAAATATCATTCAGACAGAAGAAGCTTTACCATGGCTGGAAGGTTGTACTGGTGATAATGGCTGAAACCGAAAGAATTAAATCTGCTGGCAGGAGTTGCGGGAGATGGAGACGGAAAGGTCATGCTAGCCACCCTCCCTGCTGAAGGGAAGAGAGAGCTTCATGCCAGCCTGCTGCAGGACCATGACAGCAGCAGCCCCATGGGCAGGGGTTGTCATGAGTGCCTGGGATGGAAAGCACCTGCAGTGCAGTGCAGCGCAGCACAGTGCGGTACTTACGCTAATGGAGAGCACTGGCCCAGCCCGGTACATGGCATAGCGGTCCGTCCCTGCGCAAATGTCTGCCAGGTCCTCCCCATCGCCTGCCAGTCCCAGCTCCTTGCGCATGAACTGGGCGAATGCCCTCATCCTGTTTGGGCTTCCACCAATGCAGACAAACTGGATGTAAAACATGAATGTGTTGGTATTTCTTAGCTAAAACAGGTACCAAGATTCAGTCTTAATTTGGCAGTGGTAGGCTGTGCCAGACACATCTCCCCTTGGAGCACAGCAGGATGCTGTTTCCTCACTGGCAGCCAGGGGACATCAGAACAACTGAGGGTCTCAAAACCAAGAGTTAAAACTATACCCAAGCTATTACGCCTTTAGGGTTGTGACTATGCTAGGTCCAGACACCTGTACAGCTGCATGTACTTGGATATCTAAAGTACTTGGAAAAATCTAAAATATTTTAGCAAATTTACGCTGTTAGTGTTCCTACTGATTGCAAAGCAAACCCAGATGTTAGAGTAGCTCATCATTTAATTTATTCCATCAACAGTGTGGGCTGCAATTAGTGAGTACTGCTGATGACAGAGAGGCCATAAAGTCACAAAGGAAAAAGGACAAATTTTACATATTAAAGGATAAAATGCTCCCTGAACACAGGAGGGAGACCAACATGCAGCTGCAAGGGCACCGATGCTGATCTGGCTGCCAGCGGTGCAGGGGAGTGGGAACCCCTGCATGGCAGGGCTGCTGAAGCCCTGGGGCACCACAGCTCTTCCCCTGTGCTGCTGGGGAAATGCTCCAATTTAAAATGGAGGAGGAGGCAGTCGTGACAGGCTGGTTTTGACAGCAGGTCTTGGCCAAAAATACAACATCCTCTTTCTCTTGTTTCCAGTAGATGATGAACAGATACTTTAGACAAATGCTTCCTCCATCTGTCCTCCAATATGGGGGCCAATACAAAACCAGTTCTATGGAACTGAACAGGTTTCTAAAAGGATAATTGTCTATTGGGATTTCTGCCTGGAACAAGCAAGGGTAGATGACCTCCCTGCCCAGGCTGCCCTGAGTCACTGAGTCCCTTTGCTGAGCAGCTGAACCCTGTCCCCAGCGGAAGCATCCAAGGCAGGAGGGCCCAAGCATGGGACAGCAGAGGTGTGAGATGAGGGGCTGGGATCTGCCACCTCACTCTTTCACCTTCTATTTACCTTTATGTCCCCAAACATTGCTGGCAGGTTGTGCGTCTTGGTTCCCAAGTCCAAGTGATACAGCATGTCCTCCTCCATTGAGTCCAAGTGTGGGTTTTTAATATGGACAAGCCCGCTGCTGCAGGGAGATAGGGCAAAGATGGGTTAGGGGCACTGGGCAGTGCCCACAGGAATGGGGACAGGGCAGGACGGGACATGGGGTGGCCTGGGAGCCCTGCAAGAGCTATGCAGGGCCCTGGTGTTAGGGACAAGCGAGCTCTGCATGCCATCCAGGGTGGCTGCCTTTCTGCTATTGGTAACCCCTTCAACATCTCTTTTATTATGTCTGTGTATTTGGCAAAAATGTTTCTGAGCATTTATGATCAATTTTGTCAATGGCAACCTCAGCTTTCTATCATATAATTCTGCCAGAAATACCTAGCAGGTAATGTGCTGTGCTGTTTTGTGTGTGACAGCTTATTAAGCTCTTAGCAAATCGGGATTTTATATTTCTATTGTCCTAAATAACTGCCTAGCAGTACAAGTGCAAATTAAATTCAGATTCTGCAGGCAGCAGGAGGCCAGTTTGCCTTCCCTTCCCGCCTGCTTTAATAGAGGGAAAGCAACCAAGTAACAATATGGGTCAGTTTTATAAATAAGGCTGAAACAAAACCCAGAGAACATTTTTCTTGTCTTATTAAAACAAATTCAAACCTTCCCTAGTTACTCACCCGGAGTAAACTGTTGTTTCAGTCATAGCGGCTCTACCAGAGTCAGCTGAAAGCGATACTCTGCAGAAAAGGTAAGGAAAACACCCCGTTATTTCCTCAGCTGTTGGGGTTTGGAGCTCAGAAGGGGTTTTAAGGGCTCTGCAGGGGGTTAAATACCTTCTCTGTCTTTGTTTGGCTCCGAAGATCAACAGTGACCGGACGTCCTCTGCCCGCTCCCCTTTGCCCCCTCAGGTGTGACTGGTTGCGGACTGGCTGTTTTTGCAGGTGTGTCACTGTCAACCTCAACTCCTCCACTGCCATGCTCAGGGCGAGGCCAAGGCCGGTGACCCACTGGCCCGTGCGGTGGGCTCTGGGCACGTGTCAGGCACACGTGCGCAGCGGGGTGCAGGCCTGACTGTCTCCAGCCACGGCTTCGTGCCAAGGGCTTGTCTGAGTTTGATGCTGTGGCGCTGCTCCCCTGGGATGTGCTTCTCCTGGATCCTGAGGATTGGACTGACACTCCCACAGCCAAGCCGTGCCTTTCTCCAGCCCCATTCCCTGCAAATTGGAAACCAACCTGCTTTTATCTCAGGTGCACAAAGGAAGCGCTAGTGCTGCAGCAAACCTCCACAGGCTCCGTGAAGGAGAGTGACGGTGCATTAGGAGTGGCTGCTGCAGTCCCACCTCAACACCACGTCTCGCATCTGCAGCAGTTGGGGCAGTTCTATGGGTCCCTGTGTGGGTGCGGATCACCCCGTGCCAGCGAGCAGCTACACTGCACCCAGCGCTCGCTGGTGCTTGCAGGCCTCGGCTGTCTGTCAGTGCGGTGTCACCTGGCAGGGGGCTCAGAAGGGAACACACTGCCCAGGGGCTTGGGGGGGACTGGCTCCTCAGCCCTGCATGGCCTCTCTGAGCGTGGAGTTGCTGGAGGCTGACACACATTTTATGTTCTGAACTGTCATGGTACCTCTTGGGTAGCCCGGAAAACCATGTGAGAAGGAAAACACAAGGTAAGTGTCAAAAGTTGGATGTGCCCCGTTCCCACTAATCCCTGTCTTCACACTTGTAATTTAAGGCAAGAAAGTGACTTGCAATAGATCTGTTTCTCTCACTGGCTAAGCTCCCCAGAGGGCAGCACGGCTCACTACTACAGAGGTGCCCGGGTACGGCGATGGGCAGAGATAGGCTACTGCCAGTCAGAAACGGGTCCTGGAGCAACTAGTCCCAGCCTGGAGAGGCTGGTTTTGTTCTTGGCAATGTTCAGACAATGATATTTGTTCTCTGCACCCCGCTTCCTCTCAGCCGGGGGAGCCCTTCCGGACAGTCCGCGGTCAGGGGTGCCAGTGGCAGGCTTGCCCTGGTCCCAGGGGGGCTGGCTGGCAGTGGGGCTGAGGGAGGAGTGCAAGCTGGTTCCCTGGGGCCTCTCCCCAGGGCAGCCCTTCCCTCGGCTCCCTCGATTCAGGAGCTGCTTTTAGTGTCACTGTGCCCCAGCCAGGGTGATTTCTCAGACATTTTCCCTCCAAGGAGACAAGGGACTTTGCACAGCAGCCCGATGTCCGCTGTGGGTGTCACAGCAGTGCTTGGTGACTGTCCCCATGTGTGATGGGACTGCGCAATGTCTGTGCTCCATCACACACCACTGCCTGCTGCCCCAGGGCCATGGAGCATGTGGTGGGATGTGGGGCATGCCTTAGCGTGCCGGGTGGGGTCTGGGGAACAAGCAGCAGTGCCAGAGCAGCCACCACAGCCCCTGTTTGTGGCTCAGACCAAAGAGCAGCATGGAGGCAGTGCTGCACTGGCCAGGCCAGGTCCCCCTGCTCACGGTGTGAACAGTAAGATGCCGAGCAAGGCTGTGGGCACTCAGTCTCTGCCTCAGTGTTTCCGGGTTCATCCTGTCAGCAATGTGGTGCTGTTTGAGACAGATGTGCACAAGTGACCTGTGCTCCCGGAGTGGGAGAAGACTGGAGAAACTGGTCCTGCTGCCTGTCCTGACACCATATGAGACATTGCCCTGGAAGATATTTTAGGCAACTGGCTGGAGGGACAGAATCTGGCATTTGCTATTGGCCTCTGGGAGTAGTAGGCGAAAGCTCTGGTTAATTAGGTAAGTGCTAGGTAATTAATTACCATGGTGACCTGAACCAATAACCATGTCTGACTTCAGTGCAGATTTTGTCAACCAATGCGTTTGATCTGCTGCCATCTTGGATCACTTCTCTATGATTTATGTGATTGCCATCGCAGGTCCCCTGGCTGTTAAAGCAAATGCTCATCCTAGCAGTGAAATGCAGAGAAGCACGAAGAGGCTGCAGAAGTAGTCAGCATGCTCATTACAGGCTCTGGGTAGCCTTAATTGCCTACAGAGGTTTTTATTTTTTTTAAGCTTTGACAACTCTATAATTGCAGCTGTGTGAACGTGGCAGGGCCTGCCTTTGGAGACTGAACTGTTCAGCTATGAGGTGGGGACCAGGCATTCTCTGGGTGCTGGTGGGCTCCTGTTCTTGGGAGCCCAGCCTGGCCACCCCTCTGTGCACACCAGGGGCAGCTGAGCAGCCTGGTTTGCCTCCTGCAGTGGAGCTGATGCCCCTGTGCCCCTGGTTCAGCAGCTGGTCCCTTGATGTCCTGCCTTTGGCTGCGTACTGGCCACACCTGCACCTCCGGGGTCCTGGGCTGAGTGCTGGGCTTGTGACCCTGGGCCCAGCAGGCCAGGCTTAGCCCAAAATAAGCACAAAATCCTGCTTGGCTATGACAGGCAGGTCTTCTGCGTCATGAGCTGTGAGGTGTACTGCAAGGCTGGACAACGAGGCTGCCGGGCTCACCACCCTGCTCCTGCCCACCTCCCCTCCTGCTGCTGTGGTGTTCCTCCATCTTTTGTACTGGTACTTAAGGACAGCTTTGGCTTCTTTCAAAGTGATATGCAAGCCCCTCTCCTTCCAGATGCTTTTACTGTCTGTGCATGGTGTTTTTCTTCTTTGCCATTTAGCTGGTTAATAAGCACTAAAAATAATTGAAAGAAAATCAAAGCACGATGGCCATCCATTCAAAGCTACAGACCTAATTAAAACCATATTGTGTGTGGCCTGCTTGCAGCATAACATCTAGCCAGTAACAAGGTCCTATTTCACTAATGGGGCAGGGAAGGTAATTGCTGCAACTGAGACAGCCTTTTGCAGGGCAAATACATGTCCAAACCCTTAAAATTGCAAAATGCTGTAAGAGCAAATAAGCATTACAAACCAGTGTTACACAGAAAAGTGTAAATTTGGTATCTTGCCCAAGTCAGGGTCAGGATGGATCTGAAAAGGGATGAGAGCAGAGCCCTTATGGATATTTCAGACTTGCTGGAGTTGTACCAAAGTCAGGCTGGAATGATTTCTGTGCTGAGATGAAGTTCTCCCCTCCCTGGATACTGTTAACATATGCCTGCCAAAGATGACTTATTACTGATGCTCCACAGCACTCCTGAAGAATCTGGAGTCTCTTTTTTACTTTTAGAGTGCACCAGATTGCACCATGAGGTATATAGAGAAAAGTTTCCTTGAGGCCATGCACCCATCTTCCACCTGCAGCCTTGAGCTGCCTAAGTCACTCAGTGCAATTGCTGTATTTTTCAGCATAAACCTCAACATTTCAGGCACGTTGCCATTAACGCAGTGATTGTCATGCAGATCTTTACAGTTTTGTCCAATTAGCATTACTTGATTTAGGGAGTACAATAAGGAAGGTTTGCTACTTGCAAATGGCAGCTGTAAACACTTTGGGGAGGTGAGATCGGGGTTTAGGCTTCCCACAGGTTCGCTGGCTTCCCTCGGTGCACTCTCATTTAGCGGAGGAAAGCAAGGCTCCCCAGCCCCACTCCTGCCTCCTTCAGCATTGCTCTCTCCACAGTGGAAACACCTCCCCGCCGGAGGCTCTGATCCCACAGGAGGTGCAAAGCTGGGCAGGACCGCTGGCTTCTGCCCCTCCCTGTGTGCTGGGAGCCGCTCGCTCGCTCGCCACATGCCCTCCCGCCACAGGCTGTGGAGGGGCTGGATCCAAGGCAGTTACCCAGCCATTGTCAAGAGGCTAATTTGGCACACAGGGCCCATATTATTGTTGTGGATTCATAAAGGAGAAGGAACAGCTTGTGCGTTGAGTCCAGATGAGTCTGTGGGATGAGTGGGCACAAAAATCACCTGATTGCAAAGGGAGCACAGCTGATAGGAAAGGAATGGCACATGTCCTAACCCTGCTCCATTGTTATCCTGGATATCCAATGCTGACTTGAAATCCAAAGCCCCAAGGGGGTTTGGAGGATGACGGACCCTGGTGTCGCTCTAGCACAGTGATGTTTTCTCCTGTGGAATGCCAGCTCTGCAGCGGACTGAGCCCATCTATGGGTGCTCTGCAACCTGCAGGGCATGGCTGGACAGGGACTGTAAACGGTCTCATGATATAACAATTTCCCAGAGCGCACGGACAACTTCTTAAGCTAAATATTTACTTATGAACTAAAAATAATATCCCAGCACACCCAGCTGTCATTTGTTACATCCTTGCCTGGTGGTCAGTGAAACCCTATCCCCGACCCACCACAGCCCTCTGCCCCAGTGTGCCCTGTTCTGTGCAGGGACCCACCCCTCACCCTGCATGTGGCAAGGGGCAAGATTTTGGAGGGTGGCCCTGCTGAGTGAGCAGAGACAGAAATCTCCTGGAACAGTAGGTTGAGAAATTGTGAGTAAGCAATGTTCCTGGTGGTGTTTGTCCCTGCTGTGTCCAAGGTAAAAGGAACAAGCATGTGCTTTTTAAGTAAACACAATTGCATCAAGAGAAACAGTTGACTCGTGCGCTTGGCTTCCCAGAATTGATGATGAGGGGAAGGGATAGCAGCTGCTATGGCTGCACAGGTTTTGGCACCTGATTCTCTGCAGGTTGGCTTGCTGCCCAACCTGTACAGAAAGTCACTCACACTTGGTTCCCTCCTTTGTGATTACTTTCCTCGTGGTAGTTCTCCTTTAGGACAGCTTTAAATATATCCCAGCTAAAGCGTGGCTGTTCTCTCCCACCGACTGCAGGGCGACTCGTGCATTGCAGGCGTGGTTTCCCTTCCTGCTTGCCATGGCAGAGGCTGCAAGAAGAGAAGGGACAGGAAGGGAAAGGAAAATATTTTCAGTTGAAAGGGACCTACAATCATCATCTAGTCCAACTACCTGTTTTCTTCTTTTGCAAAGCAAGGAGGGGAAGTGAGGATGGTGAGAAGCGGAGATCATTGCCCCAAGAAAGTGTTTGTTTGTAACTGATTCAGAGCTAAATTCAGACTTTCTGAGTGCCAGGCAGTAGAGCTGTTAGCATATGTGCTAAAGGATGACAAATAAAGCATGGTGAAGTATACGGCAGAATAACATATGGCAATCTAGACAGGCTCTCAGCAAGAGAAGAGCTCAGGAGAGCCAGCGCTCCTGCACCCATCCAACACCTCTAGTAATGTTAAATGCTATTTTAAAATAGACAGCCGCATGTCAGCCTTTGCATGGCAGAAAGATGCTTCACCTGCTGTGTCCTGCCTGAGCTGCTGTAACGTCTGCTCTGAACAAGCCTGAGCAATTTCTTCTCGGGTCAGCTCATTCCTGATGTCTCTCCTGTGGCACCTCTGTTGCAATGCCATGCTCCCTAAAGCTGCTGCTAAGCGAGATACTAGGGCAGTCTGGAGAGCAGCCCTGGTCTGTGAGTGAAGGCAGGAGGCTGTGGGTGCCGGGGCTGGACAGGAGGGGACGGATTGTGCTCATAGCAGGAGCAGGCTCTTGCACCACCATCACAGCAGTGTGTGCGAGCCCATGCTCACACAAGTGCATTAGTGTCAGCTTTTAAATTAGCAGATCTTGCTTGTTAGCAGAGAACTCATGAAAATTCACAATCTAAGAGATGTCTGGTGTATTCCTCTAGTAATGATTTCTGGCAATCAGCATAAAGGAAGAAAAGGCACTGGGGAGATTTTTTACCTGACAGAAACAAGGTTATATGCCAACAGTAGCACAGAGCGTTCCCTCTCCCTGGCCCTGGCCCCTTCCCCTTCCCTTCACTGTGCTGCAGATCCAGAACAGCAAACAGGGCGGGCAAAAGGTGAATTTTTATCAACTGTTTGCTCTGGTTCTTTGTTTTGCCTTATTTATTATTGGTATAAACCTGTTCCTGGCTTTGGGAGAAATTGGTAAAATGCTCTGAAGAAACCAGGCACCACAAACCTTCAGGGCATGGCAAGTAACTACAGCTTGTCAGGACATGTTTTCCCCTGGAGTGAAACACCGTCATAAGCCCATTTATTTCAGGCAAAAATTAGCTGCCTTAAATTTGCAGCTATGCAACGAGCCACTGATCTGCCTGTGTTTGCTGTGCCAGAGGGGCTGAGTGCTGTTGCTTCACTGCCGGAATATTTCTTGGAATTGTGGACAAAGTTGAGTTGCTTTTCTCTCCACACCCAGTAAGTTACCTTGAGCATGGCATGCTGGCTCCCTCCTGGGGCTGGGTGGGGAGTTTGTGCTCTGCAGACACCTTTCTATCTAAATCCTGTTTGGGCAGATGAGAGGTGCCGTGCCCATGCTCCGGGGTGTCCTGCCCTGCTGCAATGGGCTCCCAAGAGGTGCAGGCCCAAGGCAGCAGCCATGCACACTGGCCCACGCTCCCATGCTCTGGGAGCACCAGGCTGGTCCCTTGCGCGCCTCAGGAAAAGCTGTTCCCGTTGGGTTTAAACCCACTGGTTTGAGTAGGTACTGGCTTTGTTGCTGGAGCTTGGGGCACTGCCCCAGCCCTGCCTGGTGGCCTCAGCACAGGCAGCCACACGGTGTTTCCGCATGCACTCCACTGCTGTCTCCACAGCCAGCAGTGTGAGAGTTTATTGTAGTTACTGCGTTATCACTGCTGCCCATCCGTGCCCTTCCTGGACAACTTCTTTCCCTGGCCCAGCACAGAGGATCAGTTTCAACAGCAAACACTGGTTTTGGCATATTGCTTCTCCAAATGTGGAGTTCCTTTCATTCCTTCATGCATGATGGCAATTAAAGTGAGAAGAAAGATCAGCAGTGGGATTGTTTGGATGCAGGGACTTCATGCCCAGGCTAAGTTAGGTTTCACCTTGCCTTCCTTCACTGCTTTTTGTTCCTGCTCGCTACAGCCACAAAAAGTGTTTTGAAAGTATGAGGGGAGCACAGCAGGTGAGCCCACACAGGGGGGTTGGACTAGATGATCTCCAGAGGTCCCTTCCAACAATAATGATTCTGTGATTCTGTAATGAAAGACTACAGGAATTTGTGTCTTTTTTTGTTAACCAGAGGCTCAGGGACAACCCTGCTAGGGTAAGCGCAGGAGGAGGACAGTTGGGTCCTGGGCACAGTAGCTCGGCAGCCTCTGGTCCCCTATTTACCTATTTCACAACAAATTCCATTTTGTCATGATCTGACGGGAGAGCTGAGCAGGCAGCATGCCCAGGCTGGGCTCTCACAGCCCTGTCGCACACACCCTGAGCCAGCCACTGTCCCTGCAGCACAGCAGATTCTGCTGTCAGTGCTCCCTCTCCAGTGTCACCTCCGTGCTGACAGTCCCATCCGTGGCACTAGTGGGGTTGGCAGTGCAGAGCTGCTCGCCATGAAAGCACACAGTGAGGCGATGGCTGATGAGGTCATTCCTGTCCTCTCTTGTATCACGGTCGCGCTGTTGGCTAGCCCGCCACTTCCCTGCTCTGGCTGCCAGCAGCGCTCTTCTTCCGCCCCTAAGTAACCTGTGGCTCCTGCCAGACCTCTGCCATTGCCCTGCGGTTCGTTTGTTATCCTCACCCTGCCTCAGCCGGTAGCACAGACAATAAGTATACTTTATCCCATAAATCATTCCTGTTCCAAAAGGCAATTTTCTTGAGTGCTTGCTAAACACAGTGGTAGCGTTGCAGTGCTGTACAGTTGTCACTGCTGTTGATCTCCATCCCATAGCTGGGATTCTGTGCCAATGGGCGCAGGGTGCCTGGAACCGGTTGGTCTGTCATCCTGACCTGCCTTGTGCTCTTCTATGCAAAAGAGGTTCCTGCCTTGGCTGACCCTGGTACCACTCTGGTGGCAGCTACAAGCTGTGTGACTTGGCGAGGGGAGTGGTGAGATCTGAGGAAGAGTGAGCTGCGGTGATGGAGAGCCCTGTTTAGGGCCACATTGGAGCAGCCCCAGCAAGGGATGCGTGTCTCCCTGCTGCAGATAGTGTGCAGACACATCATGGCTGAGGGGAGAGAGCGACCTTGGATTGCTTTGCCACTAGCAATCACAAATTGGTTCAGCAGTGTGCCAGGGCAGGGACATGAAAGCGAGCGCAAAGCGGAGGCGGCAGCAGTTTCTTCTACACAGCAGAGCAGAGTCCTAGACTTCTCTTTCTTCAGCCCTCACAAGCAGAATGCCTGCTGCGGGGTCAGACGTGAGACCTCTTTTTCTTCCAAATGCACAGATGCTTGTAGATGATAAAACGATGGTTTGTACTCAGAAGCAGGAGCTGAAGGAATAGCTTCAGGACATAGTTTTGTTAATTGGTAAAGACATCAGCTCTGTTAAATTTCTGTCCCCACTTAGAAACTGGCTTGTATGAGCTGACCCAGTGGGGGCTGTTGGGGGGTTAGCGTACCTGCCCCGTGGCAGGGCATGTACCCACCGTGGTTGTGTGGGGCTGGCATGGGCTGGGAGCTGGTTACAAGCACTGGGATGAGTGTGTCCACCATAAACAGCAGCTGCAGGCAGTGCTGGCAGCAAGAAGCCACAGACCAGCAGAAGAGCCAAGGCTTGTGGAACAGGGTGAACACTGTTGGCTGTAATACTGGTGGTAAAAGGGAATTTTGATTTTGAACAAGAAAACTGTCTCCTGCAGTATGTGCAAAAAATAAAAGAATTAGAGGTATTATTTTTTTAAACTAACAGGTTTCAAGAAATGAATACCTGACTTCCTTGTGAATTTCCAGTCTTAACAGGAACAATCTGCAAGATCCTGAATAAGGGCTGTATTTAACCCAATCCTGAAAAATCAAAGGATTTCCATTATATTCTCAGCTTAATTGTTAGTATTTTTTGTGGTGCTCTGTACTATGTGTGGCCTAAAAAGGGTATGTCTGCACAGGTTTCTGTTGTTTATGCATCATTCAGTGTGACAGGGAGAGAAGTGCTGGGGACGGTGGCTCAGGAGCTAGTGATGGAGATGTAGAGGGAGGGCTGGCTGGAAGCATTTGCTGCAGGGCTGGATCTTGCTGTGCCCCAGGACAGGTGTGAGACGTGCAGGGGAGCATGAAGGTCCTAGGGCTGCCAGGTCTCTCCATGGTCCCTCTCCAACCTTTAAAGCTCACCAGTGGTCCAGCTGCTGTCCTGTCCTATACAACAAGAAACTACTGCAAGGTTTTGTCATTAGCTGTCGGCTTCTCTGTGCCTCTTTGTATTGGAGTTAGCTGCTCCAGTCCTACATAAACTGTGGCGAATGCCATTGCCAGCAAGTTCTCAGCTTGCTCCATCCCCTCTGCAGCCAGCAGCAGCCCCTTCCTGGCCAGCCCTCCTCGCGGCCCTGCATTCACTGATCATCTGCTGAGAGCATCCACAGAGGCTCATACAAAATGCAAATGGACGGAATGCTGCCTGGTTTGCTAAGATGGAGCAGGGAAGCAGCTCTCCCTCACTCAGGACACCAGCTGGCAGGAGAGCAAACATGGGCTCCATGGTGCTCCCTGACTCTTCCTCCTCTCTGCTTGCGCCTTTCTTTCCCAGCATGTTCCTCCTCTCCAGGCTCTGAATCCAGATAGTGCCTGTTGTTTGATTGTTTTTTTTTTTTCTCCTTTTTTTGTCTACTTTTTTTTTTTTCCATGGGTATTTTCATCCTTTTGTCCTTCCCTCTCAGGGCTTGTGAGTGCATGTTACAGATGCCGGTGCCTGTGGGTGCAGGCAGGAGGGAGAACTGAGTGGAGATTTCAACCACAACAAGGCACATGACACAGGGCTGAAGCAGAGTTCATAAAGCCACTGTGCTTGTCAAGCCCAATCACAGCTCAAGAACAGGAGAAAAAATTTCTCCTTAGGTGGTGTTTGGCTGACTGTGCCCCAGCCCTGTCTCTTACAAGCTGTGAGCTCCTGCCACCATGCCCTGCACTGATGGGGTGCCTGTGGCTACTTCAGGGCTGGAGCAGGGGGACATGGCAGCATGGCTGGGCTTGGTGGTAGCTGCTGCATTGCTCTGTGTGCTAAATTTGTAGCATCTGAGTTTTCTCTTTGCATGGCTGCTCAGACAGTTTCCTACAGCCCTGGGGGATTTAGGGGCTTTCAAGTAATGATGAAGCTACACCAGCTCCCTTATATTAAAATAAGGTGTCCAGACCTTACCTTATCCAACTTTATTGAGATGGAATGCCCATAAAGGGAATAAATGCTGCTTTCAGACGAGATGTCCTGGTCCTGCCAGTGCTGGCTCTGTATTTCAGTGCTTTGTGGACACACGTGCAGGAGCATTGCAAAGCCATCCCTGCCTTTCTTCCCTATTTCCTGCACCCAGTCCCAATCAAGCAGACTTGAAATGTGTATTTTTGAGGGTTTCAGATGGTTCCTTTTCCCTGTATTTATCATCATTTCTCTCTTCTTACACATCTCCTTTCTCATGCTTGGCCATGTGTCCCCATGGCCTTTCCCCTTCTCCACAAAGGCTGGAGCAGCGTTTGTCCTGCACTGCTCCCCAACCTGCTGTCCCACTCTACAGGCTTGGGAGTCCAAGGCCCCAAGGCCTGTGACAGCACTGGACAGGCAGAGACCATGCAGCTGGAGACAGGTGGGAGAAGCTTGAGAGGGGTTAAAAATCATAATATGAAAATCAAACTGGTTTCTTGCAGCCTTCAGGACATACCCTTGCTGTTCTCTGCAACTCTGAGGACCAGAGACCTACCTTAATGCAAGTAAGTGATCTTGCAGCTCCACAGCTTCACCACGGTTCTTAAGGTTTTAAATCACCAAACAGGGCAAGGATTCTGCTGAAATCTCACAGCCCTCAAAGGCAGAGATTTAACAAGCCTGGAGGCCAGAGGGAGGCAGGAATGGGGCCATAAGTGTTCTCACAGATATGTGAGCTGAATTTGGAAAATGCATGCAAAGGGATGCTGTGGTGGACCTGTGTGCCACAGCATGCCCTTGGAGAAGGGCTGTGTGGAAACTGGGCTGTTCACAGTGCTGCCAGAGAAGAGGATTAGGAAGGGCATTCCTGTGCTAGGACCTGACTGCCGGGATGGCAAGTCATGACAGTGCCCAGTGGCTCTGGGTGGGTAGGGTGGCATGGTACTGAGGTCACAGGGTGCTGGAGGACAGCCCTGCTCCTTTCTTACCCTGTGAACAAGGCTCAGAAAGACTTTCATTAGTGTGGCCCTTCTGCATAAACCCAAATTACCTGCAGATGGAATTAAATGGGCCAGATGACCCCCAAGATCCCTTCCTTATCCAACCCTAGTATCTCTGAAGGCTGCAGATCTGAGGCACTGTTATGCCTCATTTGCACACTAAGACAAGGGATTTCTGCACTTTGCTGTGGGAGGTGTGGGACTGAAGGGCAAGTAGCTTTAGTCATTCAAGAACTGCGGTAATTCTCTGGAAATACAGTTTTGGCATGTTCCATTTAATTTTTTTAAGTGTTTGTGCCAAGCACTTACTGGATGCAGATGAAAATTGTGCAATAAAGCATGTAAATATCCCGGAAGAGTCACAGGTTATCTTAAAACTGTTCCAGACTGGCTAAGCATTTATTAATGAGCAGTCACGTTAAGTCCCTATTACATGATGTTCATCTGATCTTCAGGTCCGTTCATCACCCTGAAAGTCATCCATAAAATTGACCTTCCAAGTTTTTTCTTTTCTAGTCTAACATATGAAAACCTCTATATTCTTCTGTTCTTATACCAAACAGAGGAGATTGGAAGTGCTTGAAACAGTCTGTTTTTATAAAATTGAGCATTTTAAACAGATGAGGTACTAGAAATTCATTAGAAAACTAAATAAATGACACATGAAGCCAGGGCAGAAACAAGTGGGTTAATAATTTGACCTCTACAACTCAGAAAAAAAGAAGTTCATATATTTTCATAGTCATAAAGCTGAGAGCTCTGTGACTTTGACTCTTTCTCAGCCTGCATAGAATGTGCCAGGATGGGTAAAACAGAGGCTTTAGAATAAAACAAAAAATAAGCCAGAAGAAGAGTCTTATGAACAAGTCAGTATGTGACTGGGTTTGGTTTTTTTTTCTGCATGCCCAGAGGTACCAGTGGCTATCAGATGGTTAGATTCTCCTATTCTAGGTGTAAACAAGATGGTGGGCAGGGGTGGCTCTGGTCCAGCCTGGACAGTCCCCAGGATGCAGGCCAGGGGACCTGTGGGTGTGAGGGTCTCTGCTCCCCTCATGGGCACCCATCCTACTGCCAAAGCTAAGAACAGAAGCGTGGCATTATACAAACTGCGCAGGCAGCCTGCATCCCTCCTGTCCTGGCTGACTGGCATGTGGGGGAGCTGTGACACAGCATCCAGTTACTGGGCTGCAGAATTAAATGCAGCTATAGCAACGATTGGTAATGATGGCTATAAAGGCCCCTGCACAACACTGCTGGGAGAGAACAGGCAGCATGGGACAGGCAATCCTCTCAACCAGGAGGCCTTTCCCGTGAGCCCATCCAGTTAGCAGCTGCGGGAGAGACAAGGTTTGAATTTCTGTCTCCAAGGACAGCACAGGGAGGTTTTTGCAGTGATTTCTCTGTCAGAGACATGACAGAGTTCCATACCTTGGCACTGGGTGTGAGTTTATCATCAGAGGACCTGTGTGTTGGAACACCTTGCTGACTTTGGCAGATGTTGACCTTGCAGCACAGCTCCTAGAGGAAACAGCCATCAGATGGCTGGGTTGGAAGGGACCCAAGGAGGTTGGCTGGGCCAGCCCCATCCGAATCTAGGCTGTTGTGGTGAGGTCAGACCCCATCTGCAGTCTTGGACAAACTAAACCATGTATGCATATTTCTATATTCAGATATTTCAGCAATTCAGTTTGCCATCATTCCAGCTGTTGTGCAAATATGCATGCTTGTTAAATATGCATAAGCCATCACAGAAACTCAGTACCTCCATAGGCTGTCATGTGCCAGAAAAAAAGTTTTAGATGTAGAAAAAGCACTGTTGTGATTTTGTTCATGCTATAGTCAAATCTACTTGCAGCATAAGAATTCTGTTTCCTGTTGTTTGGGAACATGAAAATTTACTTTACAGCAGTGTTTAGCACTGAGTGGCGTGATTTTGAAATGGGACATTTAAGAGTAGCTACATTTCATGACTCAGGAATTTAGATAAATTATCTCTCAGACCCACAACCACCCCTCACTTACATGGGTTTAAATCTGAACCAGTTCAGCTTGCAGTTCCAAGGCAGTAACACCCTGCCTATGTTCATGAGATCTGAAATTAACCTTTCACAGCTCTGTGTGCTGAAACAATGAATCAAAGTAATGCCAGTCCTGTAAAGCCAGGGGCGTGATCAAGGTGTTGCAAAGAGCTCACTTACGGCAATGTTTGACCCCTGCCCAAACCTGAACTCAGGCTCCCATTTGCAATCCCAGAAAGCACAGAAGCTGACCCCCAATCCACAGGTAAGTTGTGAAAAAACAGAACCAAAGAGTCAGTGCAGTGGACAGAACACACCTGTCTAACAGCACGACTGAAACCAGGCTGTTTTACTTGCAGTACCCCACAGCAGCATGCAGCAGACATTGCCATCAGAGTTAATGGTTAACCTCCAAAAACAGCTGGCATTGATAACTATTCAAAGCCAAGGTATTTTGGGTTGACCCATGGGAAAACAGGAGCTGGTGATATCAAGCTGGCCTGGGTGAGGTGCAGTGAATGTGTGCAGGCTGCAGCCGGCAGTGGTCACGTTTAGAATGGAAAAAGGCTCTCAATAGCATCATGTTGGCTGGGACTGTTGGCAGTTTTCACACAGACCATTTTCCCATTGTAAAATGCCAGTCTGTCAAAGGCAAACACATTTCAGTGAAGAGAGTCGATTTTGATGAATTTCCACATCAGCAAAATACCTAACCAAAAAAATGATTCATTAATGTCATCCCAAGCTGACATTTTCAGAGCATGATGTCTAGACTGCCATATAGGAACTTCATTACTTTGAAATATATTTCCTTTTATATTAGAAAAGGCCATTTTAAAAAAGTTGTAATTGTAGCACAGTGCTTTGCTACACTAAAAAACCTACCCCTCCCCAGCCCAGCTCTGATTTTAGGAGAAATACTGAACCTTTAACTTCCACTCAGTGCTGGGACAGAAATTAACCAGCATTGCTGGCAAGAATGGCATTTTGTATCCCACAACGGGAGTAATGAGTCTAACAACAGTTCTGCATTGCAGCGCACCAAGGCTCTGTGCAGCAAGTTTGCAAGGTCAGAGGGGCTGTGCTTCCTTGGGGCTGTGCGTGCCTGAGTTTCTGGGTGCCTGGGGCTATGGATGATTTGGTTTTGGGTGCCTGGGGCTGTGCCCTGATGTCATGGGCCCACCGGGCCCAAAATAATTCACCTTTATGTTGCCAATCTAAGTCCATCTGAGCCGCTTCAATCTTAGCCGCTTTATCCACTTGTTGGTTGTTCTGGTGTTCCTCAGTGGCCCGACTCTTGGGTACATGGGCATCTACATGACGTACCTTCACCACCAGGTTCTTCACCCGGGCAGCAATATCTTTCCACAGTGCAGCAGCCCAGATGGGTTTACCTCTGCGTTGCCAGTTGCTCTGCTTCCATTGCTTCAACCATCCCCACAGGGCATTTGCCACCATCCATGAGTCAGTATAGAGGTAAAGTACTGGCCACTTTTCTCGTTCAGCAATGTCCAGGGCCAGCTGGATGGCTTTAACCTCGGCAAACTGACTCGATTCACCCTCTCCTTCCGCAGTTTCTGCAACTTGTCGTCCAGGACTCCATACAGCTGCCTTCCATCTCCGATGCTTTCCCACAATACGGCAAGAGCCATCAGTAAACAAGGCATACTGCTTTTCACTTTCTGACAGTTCATGATATGGTGGGGCCTCTTCAGCACTCATCACCTCCTCCTCTGGTGACGTTCCAAAATCTTTGCCCTCTGGCCAGTCCATGATGACTTCTAGAATGCCTGGACGACTGAGATTTCCTATTCGAGTTCAGTGCAGCCCATTTACTCCATGTAGCATCAGTTGCATGATGTGTACAGGAGACCCTGCCTTTCAACATCCAGCCCAGCACGGGCAACCAGGGTGCCAGGAGGAGCTGTGCTTCAGTGCCAATCACTTCCAAAGCAGCTCGAACCCCTTCATAGGCTGCCAGTATCTCTTTCTCAGTTGGGGTATAGCTGGCCTCAGATCCTTTGTATCCCCGACTCCAAAAGCCAAGGGGTTGACCTCGAGTCTCCCTTGGAGCTTTCTGCCAGAGGCTCCAGGTAGGACCGTTCTCCCCACCTGCAGTGTACAGTACATTTTTTACATCTGCATGAACTATCTCACGTTTAATTTGCTCAAAGGCTTGTTGTTGCTCAGGGCCCCATTTAAAATCATTCTTCTTCTGGGTCACATGATAGGGCTTACAATCAAACTGTAATTTGGGATGTGAATTCTCCAGAACCCCACTGCACTGCACCAGCTACCAAGAAGGAGAAAAATGACTGCTACTGCTGAACCCAGGACGCCTGACTGCGCTGCACCCTGGCCCAGAGCACTGTGTGCTTTCCCCCATGCTGCCCAGGGTGTCTTTGCTGATGGATGGGTCCAAGCTGGTGCTGAGACTGGCTCCAGGGATGCACTCCTGGTGGCCAGTCCCAGCCTTCAGTGGCGTGTTTGTTGCATTTCAAGAGGAGTCTAAAGAATGAGAAGCATCTGTCTATAAATTCTTGGCAAAACCACCTAATCCAGGATCCTTAGTTTCTTACAGAAAACATGACAGAGGTGCTATTTTTGTAATTCCTTCATAACTCTCCTGTTCTATGAAGACCAGACAGATCCTGCAGAAAATTAACTCCCTGAGTATATCAGCCCTGGGACCAGCTCTGGGATGGACCAGGGATGACTGTGGGCACATTGGGCTGTGAGACTCAGGACATCCCACTTTAATAGGCACTGATTACCTTGCCCAGTGCAGCCCAGGCATCTCAGCCAGGAAAAAATGGTGTTACCATTCTGCTACCTGGTCGAACAGCCTATTTCTAGCTACACTGCCCTTCTAATATGTAACAATATTTTGCATTTTCTTTGTGTGGAAAGGCCAGGATCAGAAGCAAAAGCCTGCAGTGGAAGGCAAGCCTCTTCAGCACCTTGCATTTTGATGCAAAAGCATGTCATCAGCAGAGCTGATGCACTGTGTATGAGGAAGTATTCTAAATACCTTAATTGTCATTTAAAATTATAGGCACAAAACATTAAGCTCCATCAGATGAAGTGCAGGGCAGACCTGCCAGGAGTATATAAACCTCATTTGCAGCAGGACTTGAGGCTGGGCAGGGTCCACTTGGGCTCCTGGGACCCTCCTTGTGCCTTGGGAGGCTCTTAGTGAATATCTGCCTGTCCCAAAGCCTGGGCTCGTGTGAGCAGCTTTTGTCAGGTTCATCTGTTGTGCTCACTCCTCACTGCTGAATACTGGTGTTGATCACAGCAAAATTTACTTCTGTTTCTGGTTGTCACTACGTAGGAAAAAAATGTTAGTTAATGAGTGAATTAATGATGAATTATGCATCCTATTTGCTAGGAGTTAATTTTCAGAGCATATTTTCACATGCTTTTTAGCTTCTCCGGAGCAAGGCTAGAAGGGAAGGAGACAGGTGCCACCTTGTGTGGAAATGCTTCTCATGCAATAGGCACGCAGAATTTCTTTCCTTTTTTTTTTTTTTTTTTTTATTGGCCACATCTCTGACAAGCTCTTCACTTACAACTGAAATGCAGCCAGCTCTTTATTAGACCATGCCAGCTGTTTAAAAATGCATAGTGGCACAGAACACTTTCACTGGCTGTCTCTGGATGGACTAGACCCATTCATTTCTTCTCAAGGCTTGCAGCATTGCATACTCAGTTAAAGCAAGCTGAAAACCGAATGACAAGAGACAAGTGAGATCAGGACATCCACAGGGTTAACCGAAGCAGTCACATTTTTCATCAATTTCTGCTGTAAGTGACATCAGCCCCATCACGAGCAGTACTTTCTGCACTGACTAGCTGTAGGTGTCTCAGCAGAGTCATTTTCTGTGAAGAGTGGCTTGTTCAGCGATGCAGCGATGAGCCCGATCTGCCCCGTGGCAGGTAACCTCCACGCTGTGCGCTGCACTGTGGAAGGGGAGGCTGCTCTTGGTATTGCGCACTCTGGCCAGGCCAGCTGGCTGCACCGCACACGGAGAGCGCACACTTCTGTATGCGTCTGGGGTCTCCGGGCCCGTGGGGACGTTCGGCGCCGTCCATCGGAGGCGCTCTGGGGTATCGCACTGCTCTGCAGCCAGCAAACACTCTGTCGGGCTACGCAGCAGGCACCCTTATCGCTGCTGCCAAAGACTGAAGGCAGGAAAATAAACAATAAAAGCAAATCAATGGATGTGCTGAAGAGTGTCATCAGAACAAATGTCCTGTAGCCAATCTGCTAAAAGCCACCTGAGGAAACGTACGTAATGTAAAAGTGAGGAAAACAGAGCCATTCAGTTGATTCTTGAACTGGAGCAGGAGCAGGCTGTCCTTCCTGACGTGGTGCAGCTGATAATGAAGCAAACTGATGGGACAAATCATTAAGGGGTTGAAGTGGACAGCACTGGCACTTCTACCTTTCACAGCACTTCTGGGACGGAAGAGCAGTGTGGATGAGCCAGAGGGAGGACGATGGGTCCCTCTCACCAGCCTGTACATCCCAGCTTTGGCAGAGCTGAAACTGGAGCACTGTGCTCCATCTTCTCTCCCTGCTGTTCATCTGTTTTGGTTATTAATTACTTGTCCTACCACTGCCGTTTGGCTTACTCAAATGGCCTTGGGGCAGCTCTGTGCTACAGTGCCTTTGCACTAAAACAGGCACTGCGGCTCTGAAAGCCTCACCTTGTTTGTGCTGCAGACACTGTACAAACTCCTTCTGTAAAACCAAATGCAGTTTCCAGTAATTATTTATGTGCTAGCCAGCAGACCTGGCAGGCTGGGCAGGCATGCTGATGAGACATCAGTCCTCACACAAGCTGGTGGTGCATCTCTGTATCTGCAACAAACCCACTGACAAATATTTACATTCCTGCACTCACCTCCAGCTCTAGCAGTAATTATTTTATCAGGATGATAAAAATAGCAGTCTTCAAGACAGCACTAGCAGTTGACCAGAGCTGTGTATCCCAGGCCTCTATGAAAAATTAAGGCACCTGCTCCCACACAGGAAATGTCTACTGCCAAGGAAATGCGGGGCTGCTGGCGTGAGGATGCTGCTGCGCAAGGTCAGACCCCAAGCAGCTTTTCCAGGCACCGTAATGGCTTTCCCCTGCAGCTCAGCATATCCTTACACTGCGCAGAGTATCCTTGTCCCTCATCCTGACCCCCACCATTGACCTGATCAGCCCCGCCAAACTTGGTGGCAACACCTTGGTGGCAGAGCAATCACTTTGCAAACTGCAGGCATTTGGGCTAGACCCCAGCTGAGCACCTGGGGACAACATGGGCAGCTCAGGTGTGGGCTGTAGGCTGGACTTAGAGGGCATCTGTGAACCTGGGGGTTGCAGCTGTATTTGCCTACAAAATACCAGCTCAGGGTGTTGACCACTACAAAGGAGCATTACTCAGTTTTACCTTTACTACATAAGGTACAGCACAGCAATAGGCTTTTAAACGGAAATGCTTCAGAACTAATTTCAGTAACTTTATGGTTTTTTTTCGAGAAAATACGCTCATTTTCTTCTGCCTTCATTAGAGCAGATTTTTTAATTAAATGGCACTAAAGCTAAATAAGCAGCCCCCATCCAGAAGAGCACTTCCCTTTTACTCCCTTTCCCCTGCGTTGTGTTACTAGTCCCAGTCACGGTCACTCGGTACTCCAGGACTTGTCATCCCAGTGCAGCCAAGCAAAATCACAGCTTATGCTTTCTTCCTGCTGTGTTTCCAGTTTTTGTACCTGTGTACTGGGCATGAGAAGGCCACAGGTGACACAGGCAAGGAACAAAACTTAATGTAGTGCAATGCTGCTGGTACACTGGGCCTGCACGTGGACATCTGCTGGGCTCTGCAGTGGAAACCCAGTGAAAATCCAGAGCAGTAGAGAAGCCCTGCCCTGCAGCTGGTCTGTAAACATGCCTTTAGGTCAGTTTCATCGCTTTGGGCAGTAACTCATGTTTTTAAATGCCAGCACTAAGTCTGAATCTTTGTAGAATGGTGGCTCTGGTGTCTTTTTCATGGAGGAGACAAGTCAAAGAACGCAAAACTAAGGCAGACTGGTGAAAGCTGCTCATCCCTCCCTTTGTTTTCCTAGTAAAGGAGATGCATGCTGGCTGTGCCCCTGAGTTTAAGGCACTCCTCACTGTTGCCCTTCTGCCTGGTCAGCGCTGTGCCTGGTATGACTGCTGGCTTGTTTCGCATCCCAGGTAATGAGACAACCTCAATTTAATTAAGTATGCCAGGGCACACAGCCTACCAATTGATCCATAGAGGAGCCTGATTTCAGCCTCACAACTTCAGGTCAAGCTATGTATGAGCTGTTAACTCCTCTAATTCCCAAATATCCAACTACACAGGATTATAATGTGGCAGGAGACTCGTGTGTGCATGTAGTGTATTTTCTGTGTAGTTGTTCTTTGTTTTCATATATGTATCTCTCACTTTCCTAAATTATGAAAGCCCTTCCTTTATTTGGTCAGCAGTTGTGATTCTATTGTTCACATGAGTCTAGGATTATCAGCAAATCTATAAAGTTTCCTTACTGCTTTGCAAAAATAAACCTAAACCAAATAAATCATGTTAAGGCTAGTAAAGTAAAGCATCGTTTTTACAGCTATGACCTGGATTTATTTCTTACTTCATGCTTGCACTCCTGTCTGCTGAAAGCAGCTGCCATGGGGAGGGGATGTTATACAACTGTTTGTAACTGCTTCCCATTCCCTACACCCAGCTCACCCAAGCACTCTTTGGAGCTGAGCTATGGCAGTGGCACTTTGCTATGAACCACAGTATATTTCAGCTGTGTTTTACCATGCATGTGACAACTGCGCTCTGCAGAAAGGACCCTGCAGATTAGCATCCAGCTGGGTTGTTTTGAGCTTGCCCAAGAGAGAAGGACATTAGTCAAGCTGCAGCTTCATCCATGCCAGTCACGGAAGAAATGAAGAAATCTGGGACCTTGCAAAGTACTTTATTTAAAATATAATGGTATCTCACAGCACATGCTGCCCTTAACTGTGTTAGGCTGTCACCCTCTGATATATTGCTGGGTTATTTCTGTCACGTCCAATATTAACAGACATTCTCCCTCTTTCCCTTTCCAGCTGTTCAGAAGCATCACAGCCGAGCAGACTTGGTTTCCTTGTCCTGAGTCAGAGGATGAATTACACATCTTCCCTTCACCAGCTACCTAATCAGCTGTTGGAGAGGAAAATAAAAATGGTGCCTGGCTTTATGAGAATTGATTTATGAGAACTACCTTCATGCTGAGGCTGCCACCCTTTTTACTTCAGAGGAGCTGCTAAGGACCTATCATCTGCTGCTCTGAGCTCATGCCCTGTGCTTTGGAGGCATTTGAATCACTTTCTCTGCTTGGCAGATGTTGTAAAAAGGTGGGCCAAGCCCTCACATACAATACCTCCTCTCACTTCTAGGTCTAAATTTGGCTACTGCAGTCCCCTCCTCTTTCCTGTGTCTGCTCCTTAAATAGAAGAGCATGTGCAAAGAGCTGCTCTGGAATACTCAGTGTGGTTTTCCAGCACAGAGCCTGGCCATGACCTCCAAGCAGAAGGCTGAAGAAACCTGTCACAGAGTAGGTCTTTTAGGGGTGGTGCAGGTGACTGGGACCTTTGAGGGATTCCTAAGCCCACGGTGAGGTGGGAAGTCCTGAAAAAGATATATGGGAGGAAAGGATAATAGTGGCCAAGACAGCTGTTGGCTGCCTGCTTTGCTCCTGCAGAGGCAAGGGCTCACCCAGGGCTTCGGACTGCAAAGAGATAGATCTGGAGACTGGCTCAAAAATCTGGAGCCTTAAAAATGTGTTGTTTTTTTTTTCCCTGCATTGCCAGGCTGAGCCTTTGGGGTTTATATTTCCAGCTCTTTGCTGTGACTGTAAGGAACAGAAACCTCTTGTCTTATTCTTTGCACCCCCTGAGGTGCCCCGAGGATCCATGGCTTTCAGATGACCCCAAACCACTGCCAGGATGGACTGGTGAACGATGGCCAGGAGCCACCCCTGTCGCTCACCCACTGCAGAGCAGCAGCGCTGAGCAGCACGTGCGCATGAGGGAAGAACACCTGCACATGCAGCGCCTGGCACAGACTAATCTAGACCAGCTTCCAAAGCTCAGAGCTTATCGCAACAAAATGTAAAACAGGAGCAGGAACAAGAAACTCTTTTTTAAAGGTCTGATGTTGCTTCAGGCTTTTTCAAAAGTCAGGAACATCTTTATTAGGGAATTGTGGAACCAAGGTATTGCTTTCTGCTTGTGTCAGTGCCTTTGCACAGCTCCCCTCCTGTGCTGCACTGGTGCTGAGGAGGCAGGAGTGTCCAGCTGGGCAGCCTGGCACTGTGGACACCACAGAGGGGTGAGGAGGGGCCAAGGGGCAGGAGACAAACCAGGCTGTGCTTGCTTTCTGCCTTTCCTTTCCAGGCAGTTTTTGCAGACTGGCTGCCAGGGCTGAGTGGGAGCGGTGGGAGCATTTAAATACATGCACTAGCACATGCATTACTAAATCAGCCACTTTAAAACATTGTCTTTAATTTACTGCCTTTGATTGAAGTCATAGCTTGTCGTTCTGTTTGCTTCTCTGCCCCATCACATAGACCCACTTGACAGAGCCTTGGGTGACATGGTTTACTGTGAGGTGTCCCTGCCCATGGCAGGGGAGTTGGAACTAGATGATCTTAAGGTCCTCTCCAACCCTAACTATCCTTTCTGGGTGCAGCTCATGGAGTCAGTGTGCTGGTGGGAGACAGAGGTGATGTGGCCATCACTGCTCTGCACTTGCTGCCATCTCCTGCCCAGCCAGCATGTGGTGGTGCCTGCAACTTGATGCCCACTGGCAGTGGATGGGAGAAGCCCCATGAGGGTATGCTGAGAGGCAGCCATCACTACCATACTGCTGCTGCAAGGCCCCACAATCACTCACAGTCAGGCATTACCCTGGGGGAGCACTGGTGGGCTTTTCCTTTCCTTCCTGGTGCCACGAGTGTGCCCAGGGCTCCAGAGCCACCCCGGGGTATGCTAGTGGCTGTGGTGCTCAGCGGTCACCCCAAGCAGCTCCTTCTCACCTGCTGCTGTGCAGCCAGGGACAATGTCTGTTTGCTGGCATGGGCCCGAAGTGAGCTCAGGGAAGGGTTTGGGGAGCCTTCAGCTGGGCCTGGCAACGGGACATTAATAACATGTGTTACAAGCCCTGGAACTTAAATATTTTGCTGCTATAAATGTTAGCAATGAGAGATCTTGTTACATTTAAATGCCAGATGACGGAAGCAGAGGCCAAAAAAAGCACCCTTCCCAGCCAAGTGGGAAGAGAAGGGGGTGAGTGCGCCAGCGGGGCCGGCAAGCACAGGACCGGCACTGGGTGCACTGGGGAAGCCCACACCAGGCAGGAGCGGGTAGGGGGGACAACCTGGCCATGGTGCCTGGGGCTGTGGGGAGGAAGGGGCTGGTGCGTTGCTCAGCAAAGCCCTGTGAGCGTGACACCATGCAGGGCACCAAGCAGAGGTGTGCCAAGTGCCTATGGAGCCAGTGACCGCAGGGGAGAGCTCACCCATATTATGGTCTTGGCCTTTGAGATAGTAAAGAGCTTGTATTTTCCACTCCAACCTCCTATGCTCAGCCACGTATCCCGTGACTCCGTTGTGAGAGTTCTCATGGGCTGAAACTTGGCACACGAGGTCTCCCACCCAGCTGGGGAGCAATTTTAATCATTTATTTTTCAACATAATTTCAATAAATTCCAGTTGGCTATTCCTAAATAACACCCAGAGCAGAAAGACGTTGCACAGCCGTGTGAAGCGAATCTTTGCAATTAGAGAACTTGAACACTTTTTGGTGGGTGTTTTGGTAAAAACAAAATGTTGCATGTGATCGGTTTGGAAAGCAGAGGACTAATTACAAGCGCTGTTTCAAAAAATGGAATGAAAATGAGTTATGCTGCTAACGCTCAGATGCAAGAACATGGTTTGCTTAATTTAATAATACTGTGTAATTTGTGTAAAACTGAATTAGTAGCAATTATACGTTATTGTTAATTACTTGGAGTGGGGTTCTCCTCTCTGTGCTTGCACCTGGCTCCCTGATGCCACCCAAGTCCATGGGATTTACAACATAAAGGTGTGCGGGCGATGTAAGGACTTGAACAAGGAGAAATAAAGAAGGTGCTCAGGGTCAGGCCCTCTTCAGAGTATGCATGTCCTCCGTCCTGTCCTGATGCTAATTAAATCTCCTCAGAGGAATTAATGAGAGTTTTGCACGCAAGCACTGGGACTGCAAGGACAGGCCTCGCCGGCTGGCTTCAACAGCTCGAGCTTGGCTCCTTTTGTGACTCATGCGCCTGACTCACAGACGCCTGATGAAATACATGTACTCTCAGTCAAATTTATCACAGCTAAATATTAAAGCAAACTCTTTAATTTCAAACCCAATACTTCCCGGGGTTTTCTCAGCAGCTGCACTCAGAATGGTGATGTACACTTGGGAAAGGGCAGTGATGCAAGTGTCGCTACCTTGCAATTGAAAGACTTGCTTATTTGCTTATATACATACATATATATATATATTTAGAAATTTCCCCAAGGCAAAAGGAAACAGTTCATGACAAGCAGCAGCTTGGAAGGTCATCTGGGTTATTATTTCTGCAGCTCACCTCCAGCACATAGGCAAAGTCTTTATGTACAGATTTTAATGATGCTAAAAGAGTTTAAAACCTTAGCAATGCTTCAATTAATTATTAGTTAGGCTTTTTCATGTACAGCCTCATTTCAGGTACTTTAACAAAAATATCTGTTACTGTGTATTTTTGAAGGAATAATAGTGTTGGCTTGTGTGGTTTTTTATGGCTGAAGAGGCCTCATTGTTTAGCTTTGTGCTGACCCTGAGCCATCCCACCATGCTTCTGCTGGCAGCAGTGCCCGTCCAGGCAGCCTGGACCTGGGAAGGTCCCTACAGCCCTGCCTGCTCTCTCCTGTGGTGGGAAGGGAATGGCGCTTACCACTGCACGGCATTGTGACCATGCTGCTTGCTGCACGATGAAGCCTCCTGTGCCTTGCCCATGGGGTTCTGTGGGGCTGCACTGGCACAGGAACATTCCCATAAACCTTCTTGGGGTGGATTTGCTTTGAGAGTGCCCAGTAATCTGTCTAATGGCTGCTTCGGCAATGGCTGCTTGGGCCAAGTGGGGCTCCACTCCTCAGGATGGCAGATTTCCCGTTCAATTGCAAAGACACAGGAGTCTGAAAAGAGATCATTTTACTAAATGAGGTGACTGGTCTGGGGGTCCAACAACTCCTTAGTACTCAAAAAATTTCCTCTATGTCATCTTTAAACTGTGTGAGCTGTTTCTATGCTCACAAAGCATTGTGAAGTGGTTTTACTTGAAATTTCAGCTGCTCCAAAGAGGCAGAATTTATGAAGTACAAAAGGGTTTCATGTTACCATGGTAATAATTTCAAAACAGAGGAGCCTGCTTTTGCTATACTTGCAGTCTGGTTGGGAGAGTTTTCTGCGTGGAAGGGTGACAGGGCAAACCTGCTCTACAGCAAAAGGTGTGCTCTGCTTGCAATTGTTTTCTGGGGCCCACATACTTCTAAAGAGCAGGATATTTGCATTAACATTAATAGGTTTATTCTAATGTCTGTGCATGACAATTTATGTGCATAGTACTCCTTTCACATGGACATGCCATTATCACACCTTAATACAAACACTGTACACTTGCATGCGAATATCCTGCTCTTTACACGTATGTGGGCCCCAGAAAACAATTGCAAGCAGAGCACACCTGGTATCCTCCCCAAGTCACCGGCCAGCAGCAGAACCAGCAGTCCTGGTTCTGGGACACCACTGACAGCCATTAAACAAAACACATTGTCACAGTACTCATCTTAGACTTCAGCCCTGTTTTGGTTTTTTTTCCCCCAGATAACGTCATTATAGATAAAATTCTACTTACAGCTGGAATTTCTTATCAACAATTACAATACTGGTAGAAAACACAATTGAAGAAAACCTGCACCTTTTGGAAAGCAAATTTATTTGTAAGGATGCTTATAATGATGAATAAGAAGTGGTATTCAAAAGGACAGAAAACAATCATGTTTACAGATTATCCTGAGATTACTTTACTAATTTTCCCCCATTTTCACTATTAATTGAAAATCAGCTGCATGTAAACTGTACGTGATCCAAGCTGTGGGCAGGAGCTGCTGAGTCCTAATTCCAGTTTCCAGCCTTGGTTCCTTCTGTGGTTTTGAACGAGCACTTAGCAACAGCTGTCCCTTAGCAAGCCATGCGTGGGTTACTCAGAAAATGACAGTTTCCAAAACCCATGTTGTTCTACCAAACGTGAAGTGGAAACTTTTTCATGCAAAGTGTTTCTAAACCGTGCAGTTTCTCATGTCGCCTGGAAATCCTGCAACCTGTCATTAGTTAGAGATGGCTTTTAATCCAACAATGTCACCCTTTGTTATGAGCTCTATTAACCACATGGGCTACTATTTTCAAATGCGCTTTAGGCTGCCAATAAGCAGCTAGACGTTCAGAAGTGTTGGCTGTCAGCACCACCTGTAGAGCCTCAAGAGAAGCTTGGCATTTCTGGAAATTTAGCTGTTTACTTAGATTCTGTAAAGTCTTATTTAGATACCCAACCTTTAGTCTTCTCTTTTGGAAAATGGTCCTTGTTAAAGCTGTGTTTTCTCCTGAGGAACACCTACACACGAGCTACTTGAATGTCACATTCAGTTATTTGGCAGTATGCTGTGGAAAATTACTGGCCTTGTACTGTTCAGCCAAATGTAGACCTATCTATATTTTTAAGTGAGTTAGTATTCTTTTCTCTGTTTAAAACATTCCTATTACTCATAATGAGTCAAATCCTGGCCCCATTTGGAGAATGGTGCATAAATGGGCTGTACACACAAAGAAGCTTTTGAGGGAGCACTTCACAAACCCTCTGAGCACCTGGCTTTTCCCAAGGGAATCAGCATTCACTTCCCACCCCACACCACCACTGCTGTGATCACCACCCATATTGCCCCAGCCTGACTCATGCTACATCACCATGTCTTCTGTTTTCACTCCCCTTAGTCTCTCACCTCTTGTCTCAGAGCAGCTCACATCACTGCTTGGAAAGTGCTGTACGTGTTGAGAAAAAGAACAAAATAAGTCATATAGGAGAAGCAGCATAGGGTGCATCATGCCTCCCCTCTGGCCCGAAATCTTTCTGTGCCACTCTCTACAGCTGCAAGCAGCAGTTCAGCCAGCCTCGGGGTCTCGTTACCATCATAAGCACATGGTTTGACAGTGTTCCTGTGCAGACCTTTGGTGTCTGCCTTCCCTGGATCAGGAAGGAGACCTCTGTGGGTCACCTGCTGGTATGTGCTGCAGGCTGTTAAAGCCTGATGTGCTCCATGTTCACCAGCAGCAGAGCTGTGCTGGGCAGCGTTGCCTGGGAAAACAACCATGGTCTAGCTCAGCTTCAAGCACATAATGATGCTCCCAGGCAAGTGAGAGCACACCATGGGGCAATGATGGCAGCCCCATGCTGATCACAGAGGGACATGTGACTCCTGATAAAGTCAAAAGTCTTTGGGAACAAGTTAATGTTTCAGACAGGGTATGACAAATGAGGCCTGACAGAATGGTTTCACGCAGCCTGAGCTGCTGGTGTCATGGGACTCGCCTTCTTCATTGCCATTGAGCACTCTGCCACTGTGTCACTGTCTGGAGGATACATGGAGCGTCACAGGGAAGCCCTGTATCATGGGACTGGAGTCAGGAAGGTATGCGAGCACCACAAGGTCAATATTATTTGGGAATTTCTGATATAGTCTGTTTAGAGTTGCTCAGGCTTGTATAAAATGTAGGTTTTCATGTCCTTAATCCATCATATGATAATTTAAAGGCTCTGCTGATAGTAAATAGATGCAGCTATTCTGGAAATCTGCTTTGTTATTCCTTTTAGAGAGAAACCTGTACCTTTTCAGGAACTTGCATTGACATTTACTTTGTGCAACTGGCAGGGACTGGGAGAATGGAAAAACCTACTGTACGAGAAGGTCAGGTTTGAGACCATCTAAGAAATCTGAAGATGTGTAAGTCTATGGGATCTGATGAGATGCATCCATGGATCCAAATGGAACTGTCCAATGAAGGGGCCAAGCCATTATACATCCTATTTGACAAGTCGTGGCAGTCCAGTGTAGGTCCCACTCACTGGAAAATGTCAAAAGTAACCCCCATTTTTAAAAAGGGAAACAGCAGGGAACTATAGGCCTGTCAGTCTCACCTCAGTGTCCAGCAAGGTCTTGGAGCAGATCGTGTTGTGGCTGACATACTGGAAGGAAGGGTTGCTGTCTGGAGGGACCTGAGCAGACTTGGGAGAGAGGATTGGGAAAATGTGATGAAGTTCAGCAAGGCCAAGTGCAAGGTCCTGCACCTGGGTTGGGGCAATCCCAAGCACAAATAAAGGCTGGGCAGAGACTGGATTTAGAGGAACCCTGAGGAGAAGAACTGGGGGTGTTGGTTGATGAGAAGCTCACCATGACTTGGCAATTAGCATGCTTGCAGCCCAGAAACCAAACGTGTCCTGAGCTGCACCAAAAAGAACGTGACCAGCAGGTCAGGGGGTGGGATTCTCCCCCCTCTACTCCACTCTTGTTAGACCCCCTTGCAATACTGCACCCAGCTCTGGGGCCCCCAACATGAGAAGGACATGGAGCTGTTGGTCTGAGTCCAGAGGAGGCCTCAAAGATGCTCCTAGGGCTGGAGCACCTCTGCTATGGAGACAGGCCAAGAGAGCTGGCCTTGTTCAGCTTGGAGATGAGGAGGGTCTGGGAGACCTACGAGCAGCTTCCAGTGCCTAAAGGGGCTGACAAGAAAGCTGGAGAGCAGCTTTTTACAAGGACCTGTAGGAATGAAGAAGAATGGCTTTAAACTGACAGAGAGGAGATTTAGATCAGATATTAGGAAGAAGCTTTTCCTTGTGAGGCACTGGCACAGATTGCCCAGAGCAGCTCTGGCTGCCCCATCCCGCCCCGTGGGTATCCGGTTGCGGCGCTCCCCGCGGTCACTGCGCGGTTACGGGGCAGGTCAGAGGCCGGTCCGGAACCGCTGCCCAGACCCACAGCTCACCCGCGGCGCTGCCGAGCCCCACTCGCCGCCGCCAGGGGGCGCGATGAGGCGGAAGTGACGCGTCGGGCCGAGAGTGACGGTCGCCGGCGGCCATTGGCGGGGCGGGGCGTTTCGCCACAGCCCCCGCCGCCTCCCCGCCCGCCGCGCCGTCCCCTTTGTCAGCGCTCCGCCGCCGCTCGGCGCTGCCGCGGGCATGCGGGCGGGCCGCGGGCAGCGACAGCGCCGGGCCTAAGCGCGGCGGCCCCGCCGCCCATGGCCAGCCCGCCGCGGCAGTGAGGAGGTGAGTGCAGTCGCGCACTCGGCCGGGCCGGAGGCTGAGAGGCGCGGAGCTGCGGGAGGAGCCGCCTTGGGCCGTGGGGAGCCGCGGCGGGGGTCGCCCGGCCGCTGCTGGCTGGTGTGAGGGGCTGTGCCCGTCCCCGCCGCGCAGGCCCTGCCCCTGCTCCGCCAGCCCAGAGGCTGTTGTCGTCGCGGCCCCTGCCCGAGGTTGAGGGGGGGGGGGGGGAAGGAGGAGGGAACGTCGTAAAATCCGGGAGGGGAAATTCCTGTGGGCTGGCCTCCCGACTCCGGGAGATTCACCGAGCAAGCGGCTTTCCTCACGGGATGGAAAGCTGAGTGCGCTGCGACCACCGGCGCAGGCTCCCACCCTGCCGCGCAGCGCACCGAGCTGTGTTTGAGCCCGGGGGCAGGCACAAAGGATTCCAGTTCCCTGCGGCTGCTGCAAAGCACACGTATGGTGGTGACCAGCGTTGCTCGGTTCCCCGGTAAACAGGCTGCGGCGAGGGGCGGCGACTCGGCTCCCTTTTTTTTCCCCTTAATTTTAACAACGTAGACTGATATAAATTGGAGGTGCAGGCTTGTGCTACAACCGAATGAGCTCTTTGAGCATGGTTGTGCTGGCGTTACTAATGTAAGTATGCTGCAGGTCCGTGGTTTGGTAGGAAGAAGAAAGTTACAGGCCAAAGTCCCTTGTACATATCAATCTGTTCAAGGCACTTCTTTTCTGGCCAAATAGGATGGTGTTCTGCACCATGAGTCAATAGGGGTCTAAGCCAGCCTGCCTGTTTAGAGTCATGCAGCTCTGAATTTTGGGAGGAAACAAAGGGGACAGTAGGCCTGGTGCCTGAATTCTTGTCACGACTGCTGGTGATGGAGGACGGGTTGCTCCACGCAGGCAAACTTTTTTGCAGCCCGCTCAGTTCTGGGTGTTAACCTCAGGGCTTTTAAAACTACATGCTGGGCTGTGAAATCTGATGCATGAATATAGTAGTGGAAGCTGTCTGGGCAGTCTTTCCAACTCTGTTAGTCTGTAAAAATGTGTTAAAGTAACTTGTTTCTAGCAGAACTTGTACAGTACCCAAGAGCTGAACCGCTTTATTTTCTGCAAACTGAGAGAGAGATTGTGGTATTACTGGCGGCATCATCAGGTGGAAACTTTGAGGTTCTGGACTGAGCTGCAGAACTGGCACTTATGAGCGATGCGTTGAGCTTTTGGAAGACAGGTTCTTTTTCCAGTCTTACATGGTTGTGGTATGCATTGAAATGCATCTGTAGTGGATCTCAGCCTTTCATTTAAGAAAACTATGGTTGTAGCAGTTTGCTGTGGGCAATGACAGGTCTATTTTTAAGTCTTCATTTTTCTTTTGTTTCCTGTCATAGGATCTTTACTATGATCCTTCTACTTCATCTTCAGAGAAACAGGAGTGACCTGGAATGCAGCAGGCACTTTGTAAATAATCTCCAGGTTTGGTCCTTGAAGGTCTAGTGCTGTTTGAAGAGTACTGGGTTGCCTTGAAATTGAAATCAGCAAAAGCTGATGCCCTGAATGTGGAAAGCTCTCAAGTGCATGTCTGGGTCCTTTGATGACCACAACTTTTTTTTTGAGGAGGTGTTACAGATCTGTTTTAGGGGAACAAAAAGTTCCTGTATACACTCTGCTTTCCCTGGGAGGTGCTAAGTGTGTGTGATGTTTTGAGAGGTTTACCTTCCATCTCAGTATTTTGTTTGCTGGGATAAGGCCTGCATTCCTCTGCTTTGTTTAAGGGGGGTGGGGGTGCTACTCCTTGCCTAATGGCATGGGACTTGGGAGTAGTTATCGATTGGAAATCTCTGCTTATTTGTCTTCTCATGCTGTAAAGACAGGTGCTTACTTTTGTCTGCTCCTGTTTCCATCTCAGGACAAACTTTAAGGTCTGTTGCTGTGACTTGGATCACTCCTCAACCGTTTCAGTTTATAAATAATCAGTGTTGTGGTTCTGAGTTGTAGTTAGGCCAAAAAGTATAGGAGGTGAGGCTGTTAGTTAAATGGAACAGCCTAAGGGAAGAAAACTGTTACATATTTAGGTTTTTTTTTGTTGTTGTTGTGTTTTTTTTGTTTGTTTTTTTTTTTTTGTTTTTTTTCAGTTTTAAGTCTTATGTTTCAAAGTTGCAAGCTGAGAAAGGGAAATCCTACTGATGGGGACTGGTGATGTTTCCTGAGACATTGTTGACTCTGCAAGTTCCATTGCACAGTAACTGTTGCTAACTCATTTTCTCATCACTTATTTTTATATGTACATTAGGAAACTGGATCATGTAGCTGTTGATGTTGTTAATTCGTGTTTGTGCTCTCTGTAGAGAATACTGTGGCTCCAGTAGTTAACTTTTAAAAGTATTTGTGAAGGCCTGAGTGGTGCATGCAGAAGTTCAGCCTCACGCTTGGTGGACTTAAGTCATAAAGTGACTTTGGCCATATTATGTTCTTGGAGCTTGCAATGTAACATGCTTTGGGAGATGAGAGGTGCTTTTGTGCCTTAGTTGCTGGATTTTTGATATTCTGATGATTGTTTACAATCGTCTATATTAGCATGTATTCAGTCGGTTGCATTTTTCTGCTGAGGTGACCTGCGAAAGCTTACCTCTAACACCATTTAGGAAGATTCTTTTGCAGGAGAGTGTGAATGTGTTGAGGAGCTGAAGTGAAAGGGGAGGTCTAAATATAGCCGTTTCCTGCAGAACTTGCCTGTTTTTGAGGCTAGCTCTCCGGAATAAATTCATGTCTCCCCAAGCCAGCAGAGGGGGGCTTCTTTTCTTGTTTTACCCATTGCAGCCTGACTGTGGTCAGTAAATCCCGGTGCAGGTGGAAGGGAAAACCAGAAGGCTTGGTGGCCAGGGCTGGGGCAAGGCATGTGGCAACGTAACTTGAGGTGGTATCATTCGCCTGCCTCCAAACTGTGTCCAGCAGGGAAGGAATGGAGACTTGCATCATCTTGCCAAAACTGCCAGACACAGCAGCAGCAGAAGCATCAAATAGCTTATTTGGAGGGATGGAAATGAGTCTGAGAGAGGGATAAAAGTCATTTGGAGAAACATCATCTCTCTCTTTGAAGCTGTGCTCTGTCCTTGTTATGCTCTTTCACAAGCTGCATGCTTCTTAGGAATGGAGAAAGCAGTGGGCTCTTGAGCAGTGAAGAAGCTCTTGGGGTAGGAAGAGAACAAAGGCGGGGGAAAGAACACCAGTGGGGTGTTATGGGTGGGTTGTGTATGTTTTTTTTTTGTTGTTTTTCTCAGTTTTTTTGGACAGCTGGTACTCTGAAGTCATGCTTATATTTAATGAAAGCCTGATGCTAAAATAGGATCTAGGGACAGCCGTTGTAAAATAATTAGGCATCCTTTTAGCCCCCTCATCCCTGCAAAAAGAAAAACCAGCCTTGCTTGTGTTCACTTGCCTTCTTGGGTATTTGAACTCTCAAATGGGTATCTCTCTCTGCTCTTCTATCTTTCATCTCTTCGACTGTGTATGAAACAGGCTAAAAACTTAGCCCACTCACCTAGGCAGCTATATAGAGCTGTAGAAGATTACAGTGGTGGTGTTGAATGCAGTTGGTTTCTGAGCGGTAATTGCTCTCTCCCAGACTCTCTGTGTGTAAGAATTCATGCAGATTGGTTAGGGTGGATTGCAGGCTGGCCTTGATGAGGGCATGCTTGCCTGTTAGGCGATAGGTTATTTGTTTTGAGATTTGAGGGTAGTCAAGACAGACAGTTTAAAAGCATGTTAGTTACAAAGGTATCCAACACTGTCTAAGAAGGCACCTTTTAAGTTCTGCTCTAGACAAGTTCAGCAACTACATGTTAAGGACATAACTAATTTGCATCTTTTGCATATCTGTGTGTATCTGTAAAGTAAGGAATGATGGTATTTCTTAGCAGTGATGTGAATTCAGCTTTCCAAAAGTTTACAAGTATTTTGATAGTATGAATTTAGAAGATGCTGTTGACTGTGAAATTTATGGAGTTCCATGGAAATGCTTTCAAGAAATTCCTTTTTTCAGGCAAAACACAGTTTAGGTTAATGCTTTCAAAAGTAAGACAGTGTAGTCTAATGGCATTAAGTAGTTATAATGAAATAATTTTCTGTGGTATATTGGACCAGGATCATGCACATGACCCAGTTTCAGCTGATAGGAGATCCTTTCCTTAAAATGTGTTCTTTTGCAATTATATGTATGCAGCTCAGAGTTCACAGGTTCCTCTTTTAAGGTGATTTGCATTTGTAAGTCTTGCTAGTATTTGGTACATGCTCTCAAAATTTTACTCTTGTTCACTGCAGATCTTGTTACTAACTGGTGATAAAGTAGCATTGAGTCTAGCCTTTGACAGTAATTCTGTGGGATGCCAACTGTTTTCTCTAAGGAACATGAGAAGTGTGCTGATATTCCTAGTGAAATAAGTGCATTACTATTTTTTTCATGTGAAATGAAGTAGTGATACATTTTAGAAATTTGATGGTGCTCTTTGCTAGCAGTTCAGATGCTGTCTTTCCCCTGGAAGGTCAGAACTGACCGTGTGATTCATCTGCTGGTAAGTAGTCAACATCAGGTGCTGCATCACGGTCTGCCAGTTGTTATATGATCCCATCTTTAAACAGGGTTCTTTTGATCTGCTCTTTCATTTCATGCTGAATTCATCCTGGTTGTTGGTGCTCCACCTTGTTTGCTGAACCAGTGCTAACCGTGAATACTGCTCTGTGGCATAGTGGCTATGCCTGGCAGGCCAGGCAGTGAGGTTGGATCCCAGGGCCTGTTGGACCGAGGATTCTGCCCAGTTCTCGTTTGAACATGTTTTGCATTCTCTGTGTCTGAAAATTAGTGTGCCACCAGGTCTTAAACTCCTCTAAAGATCCCAAGATCAACGTCCCTCATCTCAAGTGGTTGTGCTCTGTTCTGTTTGAGTACAAAGGCAGCATAAGTCTCTAGGCAATTGGAGTAACTCCTTTTTTGTTCAGATCCAGTTTCTTTGTGCTCAGGACCTGCTGTTTTACATGGGGTTGGCTCAGTCTAGTTCTACAAAGCTTTGTAAGGAGGTGTAGGTGCAACATGTCTGACTTAACTGATTTGCTGAGGATGGAGGTGTTTCAGAGAGTATGGTATTAGAGGTCTTAAAGTCACAACTGAAATGTGAGTAAATGAGAAATGATGATTTTATATTTTTTTTCTTATGATGCAAGAAATGGGGAATGTTGTGTGTTGTTGATAGCAGTTTTGAAATTGGGAAAAATAAAGGTTTTGTGTAGTGCCTGTTCAAGTTACAGAATAATGGCAGTGGGACATTCAAAAGATTTATTTTTTTTTTTTTTGTAAGGAATTGGGTATGTTTGTAGGTCGGTGGATGGATCATTAAATACGGTAGTCCAGATGCAGTTTAGGCTTTGGAATTTGTCTCTGACTGGGAAGCATGGGGTCAGGGGCCAGAGGAAGGTGAAAGTGTGACCTTTGCATGCTGTGTC